TATGCACTTCTACCAACCTCGACACTCGACAATGCGAAGTGACAATGCGACAACGCGAAGTGACATCGCGACAACGCGAAGTGACATCGCGACAACGCGAAGCGACGCTCGACAATGCGAAGCGACACTCGACAACGCAAAGCGACATTTCTTAAATGTCGCCCTTTTTAACCGCGACATTTCTAGGCGACAGTGCAACATATCGTTTGACACTGTCGAGCGTCGCTTCGCATTGTCGCATATCGCTTCGCGTTGTCGAGCGTCGCTTCGCATTGTCGCGATGTCACTTCGCATTGTCGTGTGTCTACCCTTAGACGCGACGGACGACATTCTAAATGGCACGATAAGGACACCGTAGTTAATACTTTTTTTGAAAGTTCCCTAAAGATAACAAATGGTTTTGCCTGGACTGAAGGATGGACAAGTTCATTTAAGATATTTAGCGTGTTCAGGTTTAATTACGCAGCAGCAACAGCAGGAGTAGGGACAATTCGGTAATCTCTAGGACAATAAATTTCGAAATAAGTTAATACAGCAAATATGATAACAGTGTACAGTCACGGATTTATATTACAATAATAAATCTGTAATATGAATCCATGGTACAGTCTAGTAATAAAATCGAGTCCTGATTTATATTAAAGGGAACAGATGTTACATCCCGATATTTTATTGCGGTATTTGGATACCTTATGACCGTGAGGATGAATATATTTAAGAAATGTACTTATAAAGGAAAAGGTGAAAAGATGAGATTTGGTTTGATATTGGCATGTTTTCATTGATGCCGTTTATATACGAGACATGTTATAATTCATACATACGATGCATTCAAATAAAAAAATAATTGGTGAAAAATAAAACATAAAAAAGGAAACGAAAATCAAATTAGAAACAAACATAACACGACAAAATCAAATGAAATAAAACTAATAATAATGATAATAATAATAATAAAAAAATCGTTCAAATTTTCGCGAAAATTGCAACCAATTTTCCAGGTTTAAAAACATTTACCTGCTAATGCCATCTTCTTTTATAAAAAAAAAACATGTATAACAAAAGAGAAAAGAATGTAAATATGAATAATTTATGATGAATTATTATAAACATCATTCTGTAGATTGGATGATTTTTTTTTCACTATATCCTTATAATATACAAAACGTCCTTATACTGTATTCTTATATACAAAAAGTATACACGTTTTATTTAAGACACCGTACGTGTAGCTTGCAGTCTTAATTAAGTATTTTTAGCATTAAACTTACTTTTTTCAAGTTTTTTTTTTTTAAATTACAACATTGAACAAATTCACATGTAAAATATTTTAAATGGACTTGTCTATCATTTAATCTGGACAAAACTATTCATCATTTTTAGGAACGATTTCACTGAATAGCAAACAAGAGCATACCATTATCAGATGATAATATAAGCAGATATGTGAGCTGATCTGTACTGATAGCATTGGACGACTCGACTCAGTTGTCGTCAGTTTAAAGAACGTTTTATTTACACCATTTCAATAGCGACCACAATTTCCTTCAATCAGTAGCATACATTTTGCTGACATCTTATTGTATCTTATGGTATCTAATAATATCAAGTTTATAGTCCAATTAGTCAAATTTCAAGTAGATGATACACCGCCAGCAAACTATAGGGTTAAGAAACACACTTTCTACCTCATTTCAATAGCGACCCCAATTTCCTTCAGTAGCACACATTTGGATGACATGTAATAAAATCTTACAATATCTATAATAATATCAAGTTTATAGTCCAACTAGTCAAATTTTGAGTAGATGATAAAGAATCAATTGTTGGAGAGATATCGGGGTTAGTGTATTTCACTCCAGATTTCACTTCAGATGACCTAATGAAATGGTTTCAATATTTGGGAAGTCGTTGATATCTTAAAACGATTTAAAACTTAAAGGAACTCCACTGAGGTCCAAAAGCATAAATTAAACATTGGAAGTTTTACCTAGCTTAACTGAAATATTTTTTGCAAACAAAATTATCAAGAAATATACTCGGAAATAAATTGCTAATTGTATTTTTGTGCTACTCGTAACCCAATTTGTATGAGAAGCGTTGCAACGCTTTTCAAGTTTGGGTCATTTTTCATGATTAGAAATATAATTATTCTGACAAAACGGAGTAAGCGAATGATTAATTTGAAGTTTTGCACAAAAGTAATTGGTCAAGACTTACATCAATTAAAATATAAATCTCAAAAAGTCCTGTCATGTCAGAAAACCTCAGTGGAGTACCTTTATTAAATAATAACAAAAGGTCGTATTCTTAAATAAAATTAAAATAAATACAAAGTAAATGAAAATAAAATGTATTACAAATGCAACAATTACTTAACACCAGTGTTACACTGTCACAAAGTGATGTTATTTACAGACAAACCATGATTCACAGCCAGCTATTAGTGTGCTAAAATGCATTTAAGTTGCATAAACGTTTGACGTTTAACTTGGTTATTAACTGTTAGGTACCCCATCCATGAATAACACGTGATTCTGACATTGCACCGATTTTTTTATAGTCCATAAGCGTAAGATCGTTTTAGTAGCAGACACCTACATGTATTTATGTTGATTATTGGCATATAGACGGCTGTTTAGTTGAAAAATATCTTTGAGGTATTTTATTCAAAGGAGTTCGTCTATAACTTTGTTGAACTTCGTCAATTTCCGTATCTTGTTATACAGAGAAAAGCGTCTGGTAGACAAGAGTTTGCTGAAGTTCATAAGACGCTTATTTTATCCTTAATAAGAATTTGGAACTATGAAACATGTCAACTTTCAAAGACATGATCATGGGTGTTTAACCTTAAGGTGTTTAAAATTCTCAAATATGTTTATAATGTATTCATAGTTTAAATGACGTCATAAAGCAGGCCGATTGTTTCCATGCTTTAACATATTAAATAGTTGTAGCGCAGATAACAAACTGTTTCGTTCTACATTGTCCAAATAGATTTTATTAATAGTTCTAATCTATAATAGGAAAATTAAAAGTGAACTTACTGATAAGGCGGGTTGTACATTTTAGCCTCGGCAATTAGGTCTAATTAACGAAAATTGATAGCAATAAATGAGGCGTGTTTGTTAAACAATAGGTTGAAGTTTTCATGTAAGTGTTTTATCAGATGTTTTAAAATAAAACGGCTATCGATTAAGCAGACAAAGTGAAGTTTAGTGATTGAATTTTCAGTTTAGATGTGAATTATTTCAAAGGTGTGTAATATGGCTTACAGGAATTTGGATTTTATAGTTTAACTATGACTCTCAATCAGTTCTGAGTATTATAGAAGTTCTAGAATTGGCGTAGCTTGTGAAACAAAACTAGAAAAACATACACAAATGTGTAAGTTGTAAATAAGTTTATAATAAAACCAATTCATACATTTTTGCTACAAGATTTGAATGCCTATGATAAAGAAACAAAACTTGATCAATTGGAGACATAACAAGCTGTATGATAACATTGCATTTTGAAGAACCTTTAACAGCTGGATATACCGGTGAAAAAAACACCTTGTCGTTCATAACTTGTAGATAAAGGTATCTTGTCATTTATAATATATCGATCGTAGTTTTTATCATACAAAAAATATCTCATAACTTTTTTTCAATTTTTTTTACGTTTATTTTAGAACACGAGTTAAATGTGATATTTGGAAAGTTAATGTTCATTGGAAGTGAAAAAATGTCTATGTAGATTATACAAAATAATAACATCAAAACACCAAGTAAAACACTCTACCTAAAGTAATATATGCTTAACACATTAAAAGAAGAAATATTCAATGCTTCTTTTTCATAAAGGTAAACTTATTTACTGTTGTTAATCATATTTTTTTTTATTTCATTTATTTATTTCAATGCTGCACCATGATAAAACTTAAGTACGCACTTTAAAGTGGAGTGGTCTACAATGGGCACATTTTCCAAAAATATTTCAAATATTGATTACAAAAAAAAATAAAATTAAATAAAAGTTATAATTCAGATATTGATATGAAATATTGCTTAGAAATGATGATAAAGTTCTAAGTGATTTGTCATGAACAATTATATGATGAATAATATTTTGTTATATATCATTTTATTATCTGTTGTATATTTTTATGTAATATTGGATCATGTATCTCACACATCATCCATTTTTTGTGGTTTGTTGTTGATATATTGAATTTGCTAATCAACATAATTAATAATTAATAATTTTATATCAGACCTTCCGCTTTAAGATAACATTTAGTTTAAGTACATGGAAAGTAAAATACTTGTCTTGTGTTGTCATCATACAAAGATAAGTAAAAAGGTCACAAGGTGTGATTTATTACAATATTGTACTAAATGAAATGCATTAAGTTGAATGCTTATTTACAGCTGCTACCCATATAAAATGACACGCTGTCAGCTAAACATGTTCGAATATATTGATTAAATAAAACAATATTTCAAAATGTGCTAAATGAGAAATAGTTAAATATATTTAATTGGTTATCTTAACCGGAAGAATGAGCGTTCATTCCAAAACTTAAAAATTGTAAAGTATTACATCACATTTCATATAATACCTTTTATTCTTATGCTTCAAGTCTTGAAATGCATCTTACGCAAAGACTTTACAGTGGCCAGTCGCTTTCCAGAGTTGTCCCCCTTTTAACTCACCAAAATTGAAGATGATGAACGACAACTCTTCGTACTTCACATTTCATACCACTTTTTCTTATGCATCACGTCCTGAAATGCGTCTTCCGCCGTCAATCGCTTTCCAGAGTTGTCTCCCTTTCAACCCACCAACAGTGGAGATTAGGAACGACAACTCTTGGTATACATGTTTGATTATTTTCCTACTGAGAAACCGGTGGGTTTATTTTCTTGGTGATAATTGTATTTTCCTTAAGGTCAGCAATAGCAGTAAAGGATAATTTCTGACATAATACTTGTAAATACATTCATATTTTTCAGATTGTTAACTGAGACAAATTTTCAGAGATGTTTTTTCGGACTTTATTTATTTTATTCACGTGCACGTGTGTTGACGCATCAATACTAGCGATATGTGATAATGTGCCTATAGAAGACCCATGCTCGTGTCATCAACAACATGTGTTCTTATCCGTTAACTATACAGCACAAGTAGGTAAGGAAACATACAAGTATTTTTTCAACCAGGAACTGTTGCCTGTCCGACAAAGCATGCGTTGTTTATTTTCAAAAGAACAATATTCAAACTTCACCAACAGGGAAATTACGCGTCTTTCTTTGATAGTTTTAACTACGTTTGACGGGACCAGGAACAGGTACAATGGTTCAGACTATGTTTATAAATCAATATTCAATATTCTTTGTTTATAAACGATATGTTAAATACATTTCTTTAGACAAAAATTAATGATAAAAATAATCATTTCTTAATAAATTTATAAGGGAATATAAATCCTAGATCAAAATACTGAACAAACTGGTGAATTGATTGACAGAACTACTTTTTCTGATGTATGATGTTTGCAGTTAGGTTTTCTGAAGTAAGGGAATTTTACCGTAAGTAACATGTAATTCTAAAAAGTAAGAATCAACCATTCATCGGACTGATAAGGATTTTCATTTAAATCGATGTAAAAATCGAATACATTTATTTCGTTTGTTCGATTTCATTTATGTCTTAAAAATTCTTCATGAATTATATCTACTAAATCAAAACGATTATGTCTACAAAATAAAATTTATGTTATTTCTTATTAATGAATCGAATTTCAGGAACCGCTGTGGCTGTTCTTAACGTTTCAACAGGAGTTACTCTAGACCCTTGTGACTACTTTAACCTAACAAGTGGACAATTGATTTTGGTAAAAGATCTGAGCACCCCATCATGTGTATGTACTTATCATATATATTGTTCTTGATATGACATGTTTATATCACTTATCGTTGTATATGATCCGATAAGCTTAAGTAGATGCATAAATCGTGAAATAATATCTAAATAAAAAAGAACCCAATGCCCCTTCACTTCAGTATGGAAAAATGCTACACATTTCGATTACCGATTTTTACACACTTTTTGAACTTCAGAAAAAACGTTATATTATGTCATAAATATTGACCGAAATTTTAAGATAGGTCTTATATTCTTAACTGAAGCTTTATGATAACGTGGTAACTATTTTTCAAATGTTGTAACAGTTTTAACCGTTACCCTGCTGGAAAACCGGAAGTGATTTGATTTTGTCACCAGCATGCCAGGTCGACAATCTCCTGCGCAGTGATCTCCCCTTATCAGTACAGAGATAATATGCCAAGGGAGGTAATCACTATGAGGATTCTGTATTAATCATCTTAATACCCCTAAAATTGATAATTGACTGTTCTAAAAATTGATAATGGACGACTACATTTAAAGAATTCAGCATGTAAAGGGTTGAACTTAATTCATAATGCAATTCTTTTTTTTTCTAGGCTGTGTCACCACAGAATTGTCAATTAAACTGTCAAGTAAGGACTTTTTTCACGTGCTTTACGTGCTATTTTACATTTAAAAGTCCACTTGGGGAAATCTACTTTTGTGTCATCCAACAATTATTATCGATTTCTCATCTTTTTTATCATAACTGAAGAGAAGTAAATCATTGGTCACCGTTCACCTGCAAATTTCCGTTTATTTCTAGAATAGTTCTATTAATTTTATATTTCTAGGATCTTCTGCGTTATGCAATATGAAAAATGTATGGATATGATATTTACAATGAACGTGATTTTCGTAAATAATGTAGCGTATATCTCAAATGGCATTTGTTGAATTTATACATTTCAAATAATTTAAATTTGTATTTGTTCTTACACGTAATAAGTGTTGTTTAATGATATATGTTTTTTACTAGAGCAACCTTCAGAAGACTCTTGTTGTAAACCTCATTCACATAGATGAAAATGTACCAGAGTTTCCTAATGCAACGTTCTTTGCATACGTATTTGAGGTAAATTTTGTGTTATTGTAATTATGACACGTTCGTTTGTAACGCGAATTTCCATTGGACAATCGTGACTTTTGTATTATCTTAATACATGTACTGCAAAGATGAAAAAATATATATCTCTGTATGAGATCTACATGACATTAACACTATAATAAAAATTTAGTTATCGTTAAATGGGCCGTGTCACGATAAAACCAACATAGTGGGTTTGCGACCAGCTGTCATGGCGCAGCTCAAATATTATTTACACTGAACAGCACACCCTAAAGATAAACAGCAAAAACATTTTTACGTAGTATGAATGAATTTACGTACATAAATCCGTATTCAATATACATATAGATCTTTTCCGTTTGTATACTCTGCATATTGACGCTATGTCGTTTCTTGTTGTTGTTGTTTTTTTCGCATTCTCGAGGCAAAAAAAGGGAAAGAACGACAAAATCAGGCAAATTGACGACACTTCAAACGATAGTATGTTCGCGTTCCAATCGTGCAAGCGCATGCGCACATCAGTAAAAACGGAAAGAGCTTGCAACATGCGACAACAGATAATTTTTAATTGAGTCCTAATATTAAACAAGCCATTGTTATTTCATAGATTAATTAATATAATCACCTTAGTGTTTAAAGTTGACACCAATATTCCATATGCTTGGTATACATTTATATGTGCAATATATATGTTTATGCCTAAATTTGCCGTCCAGTCGTCCTTTTCACCTCAATAAGGCACAAATGCAAAAGCACAAACAAAAAAAGTTGGACTTTGTCGTATTATTGTGTTTTCGCACGCACTTTCCGGTTTCGAAGACAAAAAGCAACCAGTCACCATATAGCATTGCTTTCTTCTACTATGATATCAACACCACGTAAATGTAACAAATAGATTGAGGGTGAAAAAATCATGCTGAAAATAAATGAAAAATCTATTTCAGAATGCTACAAAATCAACCATAGTGTTTAGTTTTAAGGATGAAGATCACAAACCAGTCGATAAAGATTGTCCAGCAGATAAGTCATTTAACTATTTTACACAGGTCAGTGCATTTTCTTACTTTTTAAGCATCAAGTATTTCACCGAGTATATTTGGTCTAATGATTATTTAAATGAAAAGAAACAGGCCTGTTACTCGCGGCTTAAATATGCTACGCAGCACTTTTAATGAGTTTGACCTACTTCTTAAGTGATTCAAATCATTTTCATGAATATGGATAAATGTAAATTAAATACAAAAGAAGGTATCAATTTCTACAGACCGTATTATTTTGCTTGTAACTGTCACTTAAGAAAGCCCCACATTTCAGAATCATACAGGTGAAACCTTTTACAAGTATTGTTTATAGATGACAAACATACATAGACACCTAAACATATATGTTACAGTCTATATTGCGATAGCTCGATGGTTTCTGAAATAGTCTGTACCCTTTAATCATGTGACTCACTTGAACAATAACAGAAACAAACTCACACTCATAAAATACAAAACGTTTTCAGAATAACGAGGTAACAGACATTTTTGACTTTGTGACCGGTACAAGCGGTGATGTCGTTCTAAAGGAAATTTTGGATTATGAGAAGCTCACAGATCATACCTTTAACATTACAGTAGCAGCACAAACAGTAATCAATGCCGTGAGTAACGTTTTAATAAAATTTTCTTTTTTTAACATGATGAAATATGCAAATTTCAAAACATCAAATAAGATTAATAATATATGTAAATGTTCAGGATTTACCAGAACTTGCTCAAGATTTACTAGTGCATGCTCTAAATTAATAATTTGGGGGATATTTCTGCGATTTCTGACCTCATATCATATGTTACATGATCGCATGCTTTGAAACAGTGAGTTTTGTTAACGTTTATTTCGAGCCACCAAGTTTTTCGGTGCTTAAGTGGTCGCCAGTTTCATAAATTTCGTTAGCTCGGAATATTTTCAACCTCACTGGGTAATGAGTACGACTTTTTACAGTAAGAGTAAATATGAATAAGGAAAATAAGATGCATTGGCTTTGTACAAGAATTGACCAAGTGTCAATCAATAGTTTGTTTGTTTGTTTGTTTCATTTCACGCCTTTTCCAACAGTATTTCAGTCATATAGGCGGGTAGTTTCCTAACCATCGTTCCTGGAGAGTTACACCAGTACTAGACTACCTTCCTCCGCGCTAAACTACCAAAGCATCTCCCGAGGATCGAACCCACGCCAGAGAGGTAACTGGATTAGAAGTCATCGACTCTAACCCCTCGACCACGGAGGCGGTTCTCAATCAATAGTAAATGATGTTTGAATTAAGTTAAATATAGCTTCATATAAATATAGATGACAGTGAAATTCCATTTCCTAAAAAAATGTAGATTACATTATACGATTTCGAGCTTTGAGAGAAGGTAGTTTTTTTATCAATGAATATTTTCAGGCTCTTGGATCTATTGGTTATACTACTTTGATAATTATTGTCGAAGATGTGGATGACAATGATCCTCAATTTGAACATCTAGAATACGACCTTGACATTCTTGAAGAGGTGAACGAAACTTTTAGAAAGCTTAAATTATTCACATGAACCTACTACTTTTTTCAGTAATTAACCCCATGGTTCAATTACATATTATGTATACCATACGATGTTTTGCCATTCTTGTTCTGAACTAGGACAAAATATAACAAGTTGTTATTCTGTCTCATTTCTGAAATATCTGGTCATTTCCATTTAACACAATTTTCAAAAGATTAGGAAAAAAAACTTTCATATAATTGGCAAATTAATCAACACTGTATAATAAATAAAGTTTTTCAAGAAAAGTTTACTATATATAAGTGAAATGAAACATATTTTTCAGTTATAAAATCATTTTCGTTTCATTACGACTTGGACAAGTATGGGTAAGAGTTCGTATTAAGACGACCGTAGGGAGTCTTATCGAACTCTTACCCATATAACTGCAAATCGGCTCTTACAACTCGATATCAGATAAAAAATATAGAAAGTGTCACCTCTTTAATTAAGCATAACATTATTTTTCCCCAGCAGTCACGTACAAACAAGGATGGGGTCCAATTACTTAATCTGGCATGTAAAACAATGAGTTTTCAACAATACCTAGGATTGTTAATGCAATTCATTCCTGTCATATGAAACAAAATAATGTTTTGCTTACTTTTTCTAGAAAATATAAACAGTCAGCAATTAATAATTGACATTTTTCTTAGAGTTAAAAGGATATCAAAAAGTTACTGTGTTCTCATTTGTCTCTGCGAGCTGAGCTCCACGTGTATTATCTATGTAATAAATTTGAATGTATCCTCACATTGCTACAGTGTTATCAGCCTTTTTAGAAACACCTGACCTGGCTAATTAAAATATGCCAATCACAATTTTCACTATCAGCACTGGTTTCTTCATGAAAAAGCGGCTACACTAATTACTGCCGAGTAAGAGCCGATTTGCAGTTATAGTTGTTTGGAAAAAATCGTTAATCAAAAAACAAAACGTATTAATTTATACTACAGACCGAATCATGAGTCGAAGTCCCGATATGTCGAAGTTTTTACGCAAGTCCCTCCAACTTCGACTTACCGAAGTTCTACTGTAATTTATTTTACTTCAATTGTGTTGGAAGCTTTAAATATATTTGAACACTCTCGAATCCATATCTGGAAGAAACCAGTATAAAGCAATGAGTGTACAGTTTATTGCACGTTGCCTCTGACGGGGTTTGAACCCACGCGGCCAGCAATCCTTACATAACTAGTCCAACACGCTAACTATTCGGTCATGCCGCCACTCGTATTATGCGTATTTGTTATACACTAAGACGAATAATAATTTTCAAATCATTAAATGTCAATCAGTTTTAATACAGCTGATATTTCGTTTGATCATTTTTTCTTTTGTACTTTTTAATGAATATTTATTGTTTAAGACAATATCGACCACGCCCATATTCGGTAAACCAATCATACGAGCTTTTGACAGAGACAAGGGCGTTAACCAAACCATCCTGTATTCCTTTGAAGGTAGATATTTTTCTTTTCAAATTTAAACTGATTTCCTGCATTGATTACTCGTGTAATTGTTTACCATATAAGTATTCATCGTCGTTTGTATTTAGTAGTTCTTAATTAAATTCACTTTGGTTTCAAAGATTCTTTCAGAATTCAATTCATGTACACATATGAAAATATGAACTATTGCATTTAAACATACAATACATAAAGAGGCATAGTTATTAACATGATAATAGTACTACTACTACTAATAATAATAATAATAATAATAATAATAATAATAATAATAATAATAATATTAATAGTACAATTCATCTTGACAAAATGGTCAAATAAGACCTTCTTTATTTAAAAAAAACACATACTTTTTCAGGCATTTTAATTGGCAGCCTTTCTGTACATCTGTAATGATTCGAAATTTTGAACACAGCATAATCCTTTTAGTAGTATAAAAGTTTTGATGAAATGCATAACAATTTGATTTAACCATCTTGGGAAACTTAGGAGATACATCAAAACTTTGCGTCTATTGAGCACTTTCATGAATTATCGTTATGTGTAATTTACTTACCAGATTACAAGAATACGTCAGACTTTCTGAAAATTAGCCCAACAGATGCAACATTCACCGTCATCAACATGGTTGACAGGGAAAGAAACTCATCATATATCATGACATTATGGGTAAAATTTTATTTTAATATAACCAGATAGATATATTTAAATAGAAGATGTTATTATCTACACAGAAAGCAAATATTATTATTAGTTTATCACATTATGTCGCTTATTTCACTCATCCAATATAAAAATGTCATTCTAACTGATTGTTTGTTTCGAACGAATATAGAAATATGTATCACTAAGAAGTAATTTCGGAATATTTCAAAGAAAATATAATAAAATTCTCACTTCAAAGTGAAATATGTACAGTATTTGTCATTACTTTGATCTAAACAATGTTACGTGCCATTCTAAAATGTATGCATTAAATTTAGTAAATATGGCGCAAAAAGGCACTGCGAGTATAAAAGTTTCTTTGACATGGTGACGACAGAGAAATATTATTTTTCCGTTATCGTTATACTTTGCTAAATAGTATATGTAGAATAAGAACCAATATCACTTTCAAAGAGTGTAATATGGATGGTATCTCACTGATATATTTTAATATCTCATCGAAATGAATAAGATAAATTTGTTTTAACAGTATGATACTTACTAGATTACAAAACTTTTAAGGTTTTTTTTCCTTTCGTCTATTGTCAGTGTTTCCAGTCTGATAATCGGGAAAAGAAAGCGTCTGCCAAACTGAATATCCACGTGCATGATATTAACGACAATTTACCTATTTTCGACCCTGTAACATACAACGTCACCCTGGTAGAAAACGCCGTTGGTTACGTCACTACCGTCACTGCAACAGATCTAGACTTTGTGAGTGAAGCTAAGTAGATAAGTTCAATGTTGTAGAATGATTTTATTAGGTTTGAAAAAAAGTGCGTGTAACAAATTTAAGTTGTTGCTTGTTCATCTTTGTTGTCACAAAATTAGGTTTTTGGCCCATATAGCTTACTTATATTGAAAAAAGTTTTGGATGCAGCAATATACGTTTGGTAGATGTTTTAAACAAGAGTATTTCTTGTTTATCAATGTATTTACGCATAATTACATACTACATTCAAATACATGTAGTACTTATTACAAATTTTAAAATCTCATTATTTCCGAAGTTCTTGATATTTTCACAGCAATATATTAATCTATAACATAATTAGAACCGATTTCCAAAATTAATGCATTTAAACTATATTGTAATCATTTATAGGGTGACAATGCCGAGATATTTTATGAGATGGTGGATCCAAAACAATTAGATATAAACCCAAACAGCGGTATTGTTACCGTGAGACCACAGTCCGACCTCGACAGAGAAGACTCGCCTGTTATCACTGCGCTGGTAAGTTTTGTTAATGTATATGAGCCGCGTCACGACAAAACCAACATAATGGGTTTGCGACCAACATGGATCCAGACCAGCCTGGTCTGGTCTGGATCCATGCTGGTCGCAAACCTACTATGTTGGTTTTGTCATGACGCGGCTCATATATTGAACGCAAGTTCGGCAATATTTGGCAACAAGGCATTGCCGTGCATTTATCAACCATTTTACAAAACGTTTAAATTTCATTCCTAAGAAATTGATTGAAGTTCCCTGTAAAATACTCGAAACAACATGTACAATGAACGCTACATGTTACATTAAAACAGTGTGACGAAACTTGAGTTACAATTTAATCCATCTTTATCTACTTATGGGTATATATGTACGATTGTTAACCGAAAACTTGTCTATAAGTTTATGCTAATAAATATTCTGACTTCTGTCTTTTTGTAACAGATTAAAGCAAAGGACAAAGACGGTAATTATTCCACTACAACAGCAACTGTTTCTCTAACACTACTAGACGTGAACGACAACAGTCCACAGTTTGTAGAAGAATTCTTTGTTTTCCATGTAAACACTACAGGTGACGGTGACGTCGTTGGTCGGGTAAACTATAGATAAATTTATTCTACTCATTTATTTCTCCTCGTGAATAGTTTGGAAAACCATTCTTCAGTGTGTTGGAACTGTTTTAAAAAAAGAATATTGATATTGAAATATGAACATTGAAGAATGTTAATAATATTTTTCGAATAAAAAGTTAAAATGTTGTTTCATTGTAAATTTGTAGACATATTAGGATCGGTTACACTATTATTTTCATTTCATGTACATATGTAATTGTCATAGGTGTGGATGCTCTCCCAGTCAGTATAAGTTCACGTATTTAATATATATCGTCAGACAAACTTATGTAATGACAATTCACAATATGTCAAAGGCAAATACCGTAACTTTTAAAATGATTTGAACATTCAACATTTCCTGTTAGTTTAGAATCAGCTTATTTGCTTTAACATCAGTTTTTTTACATACATTATAGATGAACAACTTGCAATACATATAACAGAATATTGATAAGTTAAATAAGTGAGATGTGAATTAATGTTTAATGAGTCTTCCTGCTTAACCCGGTGCTTGGGAGGGGGCATGAGCGATATTGCACTTTACATAATCTCTCATGAACAGACTCAATCAAACCGAGTCTTTCACTTTCATTGCTCTCGAAGGATCAATCCCTTTTCCAGATTTTGCTCCCCTCTTAAATCAAGGATCGTCGGTTCGGGCCCTACTAAAATCACGACCATGTGTTCTCAAATGACATCAGTACTGGTTAGTTCCTGGAATCAAACACAAAAGTAGTTCAAATTAGCTGTATACTTTGTTCACATTCCAACTTAAAGATATACTAAAATATTGATAATTGCTACACAGTCTCTAAACTAGATTTATTATTTTTAAGATTCTAGACATAATAGGTGGATGCAATATGAATATTCAATGTCATTAAAAGATTGGCAGTAGTTTTAAAGAAAAGGCCAAGTTTACTTGACCTGTTATAGGGAACGCATACTTTATCATTCTTTTATTCAAATTAGACATATTCAGTAAGAATTTCATAGATTTCAATAAATTTCAATGATTCAAATATTTTACTCAATGATGAATAAATAAATAATGTTAATTTAAAGATAACCATTCAGCCAAAAAGAGACAACGTAACAAACCAGTCTATTCCAGCCTATATTTGACAGGTAAACGCAACAGATGCAGACGGACAAAACACGCCAAATGCTAATGTAACATACGATATTCAAGCTGCAGACGTGCCTTTCGTAATAGATACACATACCGGAATGTTGGCTATACATGGGGCATTTGATCGGCAGAAAGATTACGCATTTTTTGTCATTGCATGTGATAACCCCGATAAAGAAAATGACAGGTGCCATTTATGATTTAATCCATTAGTTTGATCATGACAACAATGCTATTTCCAACATACTAGTATGATATACAATGCTATGAATCATTTTATACATTATGTGATAAAAAAGTCAATGATGTATATATTTTCATGCTTCCGTTCTTACAAATGTTAGTTGGAATAATTTCATATCGCCCGTCTGTTATTAGATCATTTGAATAAAACGGAACAAAGTTAAACAGATACAACGGTACAAAGAAAATATCATATTTTCATTAAACCTTTAAATGTTCCATTACGCCGTCTGTGTTTGCATTTGTGTGTTTGCTAATGTTTCCTGCTTTTGTTGGACCTTTGCATACATACATTGAAACTAATCTCATTTGAAATATTTTTTTGAACGCAGACATGCAGCAGTTTGTTTGTTGTATTTGCGTTTTAATCACTAATATAACAAATGAACGCTGTCTTAAAAGTGTGTAATGCGTATTTTCTTCAAATATCACCTTGGCTTTGCTTAGGAACACAATAACTTTATCTATTTCAGACGATGCAGTATTGGTAATGTCGCGGTATTGTATGGAAAGAATATTTCATTTGATTCATACAACATAGAGCTGTCCGTTTTAGAAAATATGCCTATTGGAACTATGTTTGGAGAAGTGTTGCCGGTATGTCAGTGATATTCACCTATTTGACAAATAACATATACATTCGTCTTGTATATAATGGGGATAATAGTGATAACTAGTGTTGAAAAATAAATAAATATTGCAAATCTTGCTCTTTTATAGATTTGAAAGAAATGGCAAAATTTCTTCTTGTTTTCTTTGGCCTTTCATTATAGATTTACGTTATACACTGATGAGGACATATAACACATGCAAATATAAATATTATGATATACCACTTTGTTGTAGATATATGGTGATAGCTATGTATGTTCATTGGATGACTTCACTGTTGACGTTCAGAGGTACAGTACATTATGATTCAATCTTATTATTTCTTCTTTATTTAGAGTCAGTATAACTTCATATAACTCCCAATTTACGCAGAAATATAGTTGTTGCTCACTATTTCACTATTTTTTAAGCTTATCGATGATAAGCGGCCAAGTGTGAAAATAAAAATTAAAATTTTCACTAAAACCTCAAAGAAATTTGAAATTCAACATTATAGCTAACGTTCACAATTATAAAAAACGTTTCTTCTCGTTTTATTATTATGTACTTTTATATCTTTAAACAATATTTAGGATAACAAGAAAACATTTATAAAATACGATTATTATTTTTATTTAATCTTATGTTGCTTTATCTGGTTGGCCAACCCATTTTCTTTTTGTTATATACTCATCTATTGTATAATATTTATTTCTTTACATATGTTTGGCATTTTATTCAAGTAAATATTTATTGCCTGACCGTTCCAAGTTAGTATTAAATAGGAAATGCCTGGTTATAATAACAGAAAAAGAACATTTTTTACAAAAAAATAAAGACTTTTTGTAAGAAATAAACATCATTATGAAAGAAAATACAATTTATACCTTATTTTGCAATATTCATATTTCCCCTTATACCAAGTGCACAGTATTCATTAATTTAAGCTAAATGAGATAAACGAAATTTTCCTCAGTATTACAATGATTATGTTCAGGTTATAGTAAAGTGGTCTATAATGAAATGTGTGTAGTAAAATGTGTCCATTGTAGACCAATTCACTTTAACCATCTTTCGAAAAATTGTCGTGGTTTTAACATCACATTCTTATCACGCCATATGTATAGTTTTTACTTTTAATGTTGTTCCTTTGCATATTTATATAGCGTACTGATGAAAACAAACACTTTGTTGGACAGAGAATCTAACCAAACATACGAGGGTTACATTGAGGTCTACCAGTATAATCAGGTGATACATACACAAACAATATTTAATGTAAACCTTCATGTAGTTATATAGGTTTATCAAGCTTGAAACAAATATATATCATATTTTTCGAGTACATTCACAATTTAAGAATAATAGGTCTAATTAGTAATTTACCAACCTTTCAGAAGCATGCAATTGTTTCGTATTTGGAAGGCGTTTCTTTCTTTTCTTCAATCAAAAATGCTATAACAAAACATTTAAATTTCACCGTGGATAACTGAGTCTGTTCCATGTGTTTATCAGGAAACCAGAACATTTAAAGTTTTTTTGCTCACTTTTGCTCTACAGCAAACCAAACAATAATGTTTAAAGAATAACGACCTTAATGAGCATAAATTATGTTTAAGCTGCCATGTTGGTGTTTTGTCAAATTATAACGTCACAGTGGAAAGCACGTCACAAAAATGTACCAAAAATAGCAAAAATCACAAAAACTGTGAAAATCTGAAGGAGACGAGATCAGCTCCTGGTTTATACGATATTTCCTCACACTAAACAGTATTCTGAACCATTTAAAGTCAAACATTTGTTACACATAAGGGTCACAATCAATTGATAAACAGTATTTTTATATTTCAGCCTATAGGGAATATTTCATTTACAATACATGTTCAAGATGACAACGACAATGCTCCTAGATTCACTCAGGAAGAATACTTCTTCAGTATCTCTGCAGACTTTAATAATGAACATCTAGTAGGAAAACTTAACGTAAGAACATATAAATCAACACAGACAAAACTGTTAATAAGTAAAAATCGTTTTCTTATCATTAGCAAATATTATTCATTTTCAATTGAAATGAACAAAAGTATGATAGTTTTTATGTGATTAATAAAGCATTAGATCTAACAGTTATATATAATAATACATGTATTGTATTTTATTCATTTATGCATATTTGAAATAATTTCTTAATGGACGTTTAATGAACCATTTTAAAGTACATGTAATAACGGAGTGGAAACACGTAGTCATTGCATCAATCTACGTATAAGTTTGGCGTTACATTTATTTTTTAATTATCGTTTAACTAAAGAAAGTAAAATTTGTATTTTCTAGGCAACTGATGAAGACATTCAAGAAAATGCTAATTTAACGTTCAGCTTCCAGCAAAGGTATGAATTCAGTGGATATTGATGTCTACAACTTACCAATTTTGTCATTAATAACACAAAACAAAATTTTGTTTCACATGCATTTTAACTTATTTACCCTATCAGGAAGTACTTAATTTCATGCTTTCTGACAATATCCTGAAGTAAAACTTAAAAAATCCATTAGAATAGAATAGAAGGAAAGGTATTTTAAGTTGTAAGCTATAGTCACACAAATACATTAAAACAGCTACAGCTTGTTTTGTTGCTTTAATCAAACATATGTTAAATGCTTTGATACTGGCGTGACATTTTTACTTCCATGTAATATGATTTCTTGGAGCAAGTCCTAAATTATTATTTTGACGCTTATCAACTTTGATTTATACAATATTAAAATATTTCTTTTGCTTCTTCGAAACATAACCTCCGATACTTTCAGTACTAAAGATTGGATACTGGTTGAGGCGGTGGTATTGAGCGTTAACAAATTGCATTTGCCATTTTGTCCAATGAACTGACAAAATTAAACGAGTTTAAAATTAAGCTTATATCTCTCAGTGGTGCTTGGGAATGGGTTTCTTTTATTTAAAAACAAAGAAATGTTTTTTTTACTTTAAGGTTTATTGATTTATTTACTATTGATGTCAACACCGGCGAGGTCATTAAAAGTGACCAATGGAAGGAGGACACCGTCGTCAAAAATTCTCTATATCAGTTGATAGCTGTTGTTGAAGACCGGGGTACGCCGTCCTTAAGGTCGGTCGTTCCTGTTTACGTAAGTTAAATTATATTCATGGTCACTTTTAGAATTCTTAGGCCAGAAACTTTTCATTTACTAGTTATTCTAAAGCTTTGAATTTTGAATGGTTTGGTTTCATTTTTATACAGAAGTTATAATATGGAAGGTACAAATGATGTATGTATGTATGCTGACCAGTAGATTCTGAATACAATTGTACACCCATACACATAAATCTAAGAAAGATTTTTATTTAGAATTTTAGATGTTGTTAAATCGCTTCAGTAAGTGGATTGAATCATGAATACTGTTACTATATTTTTGTAGCATTTGCCTAGTAAAACAGAAGCACGTGTACGGTTTCAGGATGACTAATTATCATTTGACCTTTATACTGCATATTTTGTGTAACGTGCTTGTTGCGCTTTGATTTTTGTATTATTTACAATTGTTTATTGTTTAAGAGGGAGAATTTCTATATATATAAAAGTTTGAATTGAGCAGCCAACAGTATAATGTCTTTTCTGGCTACATGGTTGTACATGGTTGTTCATGGTTGTACATGGTTGTACATGGTTGTTCATGGTTGTACATGATTGTACACATTATTCCAGAATCAGGGCGGCGGCGGTCTGTTACGTTTCAAATTACTGCCAATTAATGTTATATCATTTGTACTGGAGTAGATCTGCAATCATATTACAAAAATTTAAATGATGTCAATTACATGGGCATTTTCTGTATTGTACTTGCAATATTCCAGATATCTTCAATGGAAGTAGGTTTAGACTTCTCTGTTGGCATTCCAACTACTCTGTCAAAAGATACACTAATGGAAGCTAACACAAAAGAAGCCATAGAAAGGTAATTATATAATAATAAAACAGTCTATTCTTCATATTTGTTTTTTTTTTTAATTTATATTCTCAAGTTGTATTTACAAAATGAAAACAATACGGCACATATAATTATATTTATATATTCATTTACATTAATGAATATTATGGATAGATTACTTATAAAATAAGTTTTAGAAAATAGTCAATGGTCTTGTCCAAATATTGTTGTATATACATGCATTATATTTATAGGAAACTTGCAGAAATTCTTGGTTTTGATACAGTTACAATTACAGATGTCGTCGAAGCTACGTAAGTAAAGTGATGATTTGTTCTTTTGAAAACATTTGTTTAAATGTATACAAACTATACAAAGTATGGATGAAGTCAATGTGACGATAGATCATTAAAAAACACAAAAAGGGCCTTTTTCACAGTCCATGTTTACACTACAATGGCATCAAATACAATATCATTAAAATCAGATCATCGTTTTCGCTCTGTTACTCTTCACTAACTAGCGAAGAGTATAGTGGAGCGACAATTAGGATATGATTTTAATCAGATTGCATCAAAAATTGACAAATTAAGCATGTTCTTTTTCGTTTTTTTTTCTTAAAGCTTTGAGTTCTTAATCATCTCCGCATTATATACAAGGTGGTGATACGATGCGCACGCATCCTTAAAATTCTGATACCGCGACTGTATTTTGAAGAAAAATGAGTCTTTTTTACATTTGATTTGTTTAGCAAAAAAGATTTCCTTACCTCTAGTTTTGATATCCGAAATGCCCTTCAGATTAATCGACAATTTTTCAATTTCTGTAACATTTCAACGTCGGGTGTACACAGTCTCGCATTCAACGCGAAATACTGACGAGAAATGGAAAAATCCTCTGCAAAAGAATTCGAATGTATTACAGGACGCTTTCATGTTTAAAATACTGGTTGATAAAGTATTCGCGGTATCAGAACTTTGAGGATGTGCGCGCATTGCATGACCCCATTGATATAAGAACGAGTTTAAAAATTATATGTCATATGGTTTTCTAGAAGATCATTCGTCCATTACAGCCTACACATTTTGTTTTTATTCCAGCTCTTTGGTGTATATAAAAGCATCCGTAAACGAAACTGATGTTACGGCAATAGATCTGCAAAGGTAGGTTAAAATTTTTCACTCATAAGTACATGTTGTTAGAAAATTTACACTTTGCCATATTTTGCATGAAACATTCCACGTGGATTATAATTTGTTATACATTAATAAAACAAAACAATTGTGCCATATCTTGCATGAATCATGCATAAGTACAACGTGGATTATAATTTGTTATAAATTAGTAAAACAGAACAATTGTGCCATATCTTGCATGAATCATGCATAAGTACAACGTGGATTATAATTTGTTATAAATTAGTAAAACAAAACAATTGTGCCATATCTTGCATGAATCATGCATAAGTACAACGTGGATTATAATTTGTTATAGATTAGTAAAACAAAACAATTGTGCCATATCTTGCATGAATCATGCATAAGTGTCATGTGGATTATAATTTGTTATGTTACAGCATATTGATATTGAAATTGATTATATTTACAGGTCTTTGGTCAATAACTGGTCTCCAATCCAGAACATGTTCCGCCAGTATATGGTACCCTTGGTTGAAATATTTCACTCCGACAATGGCTTATCCACGGCAGAAATAGCACTTATTGCTATGTCTATTGTTTTGTTCTTCGGTGGTATCGTCGCTATTATCGTCATTACTAGACAGTGGGATGCGTATGTCCCTAAGTTATATATTCATACTTTTGATTTAATTTTCCGTCGCACCAACAATGCCAAGGTCATATGGCGCCTTTCAAGCTATCTTACCATTTTCAAGTTTAAAGTGTTGAATTCTGCTGGTGCTATGGAGCCGGTGCTATGGAGGCGTGGACAGTAGTTTGCATTATACCACTACCATTCATGAACAGACTCTTGGGCGTTCTTTGGGAATTCTGTTTTCAATATTTTACAGAACGTGTTTCTGCCAGGTGTACGTTTGTCCTTGAAACTTTGCACGGAGGGGCACCTGAGGTCTTCCTCCACCAGAAAGAAAGTCGCCATATGACCTATACTGTGTTGGTGCGACGTAAAACCAATAAATAAACAAAACAGTCTTTCATATTTTCAACCTGTGCTATTAAGAATAGAGTTTTGCCATTTAAACTGAGTTTCTCGAGCTTTATTGATATATATGTTATCTTTTTTTCTTCTATCTTCTTGTTAATCATTTTAATCCTTTTAAGTAATTTTTATGAGAAATACATTTGCGCGTGTGTTTTAAAGCCGTTTCGTAGAGTAATATATACTTTTTGGTAACTTATATAAGTGCAATGTCACCAGTATTTATTTTATATAGTCATCTTTATATTTATATTTTTGAAAGTTGTTATCTTTTTTATGATAGACAACTCATACTTTTGAAACGATGCCGTGCCAACATTGCTCCTTTTTGAAATCAGTTTCTTTATCACAATTGCAGGCATATAAAGAGCACGCGACTTTATGATTCTCTACGTCGTCCGAGCAACATGTACGACTCCCAAGAACTGCGAATGGACTTCAGTGAAGAGGAACTACCCAGCAGATTTAGTACCTTTAAAGGACCGGGTAAAAGAAATGAAGATATAACAATGGACGGAAGTTTTGGTCTTGGTTTCGCTAATGCTGCTTTCAACGCTGATGGCGAGGAACTAAATACTCCAACAACTCCAACCTGGAGCTGCAACGATACTCCAAGAATACCGAGATGGAGCACAAGCGACTCTTTAAAAGACGCTATGGCGAGTCTAGAGGAGTTGACCAATAGATTGAATAATGAAGATAATATATCAAGAGTATCAAATATGTCCCGTGGCCGAAGGTCAGTTAAATCAACCAAGAGTGATCCTCAGACTCCAAGATCTGAAGTTCATCCAGAAACGCATATTAAAGATGGAAGAACGGTTCCTGGATATGAAAACCTTGTTTTAAACTCAGCAACAGCTAAAGATTATGAAGATCTGAATCTTGGAGAGAGGACAGTAAACGGGGAACATACCAGTCGCGGATATTCTGAAAGTGAAAAATCTGCGTCTGAAAGAATACAAGAGATAATAGAAAATAATGTTATATCTGATGGTTTTGAAAATACAGATATTGATAAACTTGTTAACGATGACCTTATAGAAGAAGAGAGTACAGCTTTCTGAAATGTAGAAGCATTGACTTTCAAATGGTGCTATATACATGTATGTTGTGCCTAGATGTATTTTTTATTTTTTAATAAACGTTCCTTTGCTTGACGGACTGCTAACTTTATATGTTTTGAGATTAATGCAGGTGTTCTTTCAAAAGAGGACTTTGATTTGGCGGGAAAAGGTGTTTCTGGAAGATGCAGTAGAACACATGTACATATGTGAAGCAACCTCTTAAAACAAGCATCATTTATTTCTCTACACAATGTGTAAAGCATGGTAATGCATTAAATTAATATGCGGAACGATTTTACAATGACAAGTTTTTATTTGAAAGTAGTCGGAAGACGCTGGACGTCTTGGAATGTTTTTAGGTCTAAAAATAGAACCATGGCGTGTAGATAATCTCTATTTTTTATTCTATATACTGTTGAATAATATGATCGTCTGACGAACGTGTTGACAGAAAATGAGCTTTTATTGTTTTGTTACGTAGGACTATATAATATGTATTTTAAGTAAAACACGTTTAAATACTAATGTTATATATTGCCAATATCGCATTGTGCAAATATCATATCCATCATTGCAAATATACAAATTGCAGATTTGACATAGCCTGGGTTTCAGGCTTGATATTTTTGGCTTATTCATATCATAGGCGCTATTGCGTTATTTCCTACGTGCATGACACAGTTTCTGATAGCACCTATTACCGAAAAATATCGACAGACTGGAATCCAGGCTAGACATAACTAATAGAGCAAATTTCCAAACTGTTTCTGTATATAATCTTAAGAATATTTAAATAAAATAGTTATACAGTTTTTTGAAATATTTATAGCTCTTGTTTATTTGCTAGTTATAGACTCTGTGCCTTTTAACTTCAAACATAATTGTTGTTATATACATTCTATTTTTAAAGTGAATTGGTCTATATATCAGAACATAATTATGTTGATATTATTCAGTATCAGACGTGAGCACGAACCACGAAAAAGATAAATATGGATGTAACTAGTAAGTGTTAAATACATGATCCGATACGACATATCACTATATTTCGCAGATAATAAAGGGTTCTAGAACAAAATATTATTATTCATCATTTAAAAGTTCATACTAAAGCACTTGAGAAATCTTTCAATATTTTGTTATCCGGAAATATTTTATAAGAATATCCAAAAGATACATATTTGTTGGTTTTTTTTGTTTTTTTTTATCAATATTTGACATAATTATGGAAAATGTGTCCACTGTAGACCAATACACTTTAAATTATCAGAAATGTAACTGGTCCAAAAGAATAGTGATAATATCAGAACTCTGCTATAACATCGTTATGTCCTATAATTCTTTAATCATTTGTAACTAGTACTAATTACTATAATTGTCATTACTTTTTTATTTTACGAATGGCATTAATCAGAAATAAAATTGAACGAACTGGCGTGTATACTTTTGAATTTGCAAAAAAACCTTTTGAAGATTGCGTGTTACTTTTTAAATAGGTAGCCTGCAATTAAAAGAACGATGAATATTTGAATAATTAAATAACAGTGACAAGTGCGTGTGTATGTAATGAAGCTTGCGTGTATTCTGTGTCTTAATCGAACTTAATAATTGAAAATTGATTATTTTAATCAGCGGAAACATCGTGCTTTGTTTAGAGTTGCAACCATGACCACCCGGTAGAGAATGTAAATAATGCTTGGGGAAATTGTCCAGTTAATAAATACATACGAAAACAGTGTTGCTGTTTTAAGGAATAAAGGTGTAAGGTATGTAATAACAATGGACGCAGCGTAGGATTTTTGAAAAAAAGAAGCTTTTGCTTAATGTACATAATAAGAGGTCAATGCAATAGAAGGTTATATTGACTACTTTCTGATGAATTAAAAGTTATCAGAGTTGCTTTAATGTACATAATAATCATGAGGGCAATTGTGTAATTGTTAATAGGTAATCTTGCAAACAATGATTGAACAGACGGGGAAATGGGGGGGGGTCGGTTGGGGTGGGGGGGGTTGGGGGGGTTTGGGTACTTGCAAGAGAAATATGCGCTTGTTCCGAAGACACCAACATATCAGCCACATCATTTATGTTTTACTATATACCGATTCCGCAATATTTTATATTACCAATTTCGCATTTGTTTGCTTTTTGTTCCGCAGAATTCATGTTTTACTACAAACTTATCAATTCCGTAGACGACAACATATACGATCTGTTTTACTATACCAGTTTAAGAGACGGCTTCAGATGCTTCTTTTACTATACCAGTTCCGGATATGACATCATTTACTCTGATTTACAATACCAGTCTCGCAGACGACATTTTATAACACATGTTTTACTGTCACTGCTGTTCTTCTCACTTCCCCCAATAGCGTGTACGTCGCTGAGTAGGCACAGGACATCAGCAGAAAATTTGAAGACTTTGGATGGCGAAAAAAAACAACTTGAACTGCTGACCAGCTGCCGGTGTTCTGACTAATGCCGAGGGGAATGGTCCTACAAAGGAGAGAGTCGACGACGATGGTGTACTAGGGTGCGAGAGCCCCTGTATACGTCACTTCTGTTTTACTTTATTTGTTACGGAGACTACATCATGTACATCCTGTAAATGTACAAGTTCCGCGTCTCCAAATTATAAAGTACTTATATGAGCCGCGTCATGACAAAACCAACATAGTGCATTTGCGACCAGCATGGATCCAGACCAGCCTGCGCATCCGCGCAGTCTGATCAGGATAATGCTGTTCGCTTACAAACCCCATTACAAGTAGAGAAACTGATAGCGAACAGCATGGATCCTGATCAGACTGCGCGGATGCGCAGGCTAGTCTGGATCCATGCTGGTCGCAAACGCACTATGTTGGTTTTGTCGTGACATGGCTCATATATGTTTTACTTTCGCATGCCACGATTACTTCCCTGTTCGCAACGCCAATAAATAAATCCTGTCTATCCATATGGCCACTGCTGTGTGTGCGTGAATTAAGACAGTGTGTCAATATTTTCCCTATCTCTTTTAAACATGAGAGATTATCTCTTTTATGATCAATGGCACGGGGAGAATTTTGTCAATAGCTCAAATGAAACGAATTGTAACAAATTAATATGATCGAAATTATGTCAGTTTGGCACACATTATGCCTTAAACCGGCATAGTTATAATTAAATATTTAAATATCGGCACACATAAGTTGATTCAATCAGTTAATTGTTAACTTTTTAGAAACGTTTTTTTTTCAGAAGCTAGATTTGATAAAACTTCGACACTTTCTTATCAGTTTAAATCATAAAGTTTGTATCAGACGACTAAATTGTTTTCAATTATCGGGCTATATGTGTCTGCACCCGATAAGCGCTTTATTTTGACATGCACATTTCTTACCTTTCAGATATATATAACCTATCCTTAATTCAAATGTATATAAAGCCATTTGTAAACCATTCAATAGATAACTTTTTCAAGCGCTTTTTATCACAAACCCGACTATAAATTTTACAATACCAACGTTTAGTAGTTTTATAAATTCAATAACGAAATTTTGAAAATATATTCGATTTCATTAATTTATGTCAGACGATACATAATAGGAACAAACGCTCTCGTGTAAGATGATCCAAAAGACAAATGGCGCAGAGATTTGATCGCGGTGGCGTTTAATGACCATCGATTGATTCTCAATAAAATAGGCGACAGGGAAGAATTGAGAATCGAGACCGTAAAAAGTGTTAAAGTGGTTAGTATATTATAATTCCCGGATCTATGGATATCGACAAAAGCAGACGACTTTGACAAATACTAATCTGCGGATTAATTGCTGGGTTTTTAATCCAAAACCTAGGAGAGGGGGGTTTAATCGTAATTTTTGGACTTTGGTATACATTTTTAAACAGTAATTGTTTATGGAATGCACGATGAGTTAGTATGCAAATTGTGTTAAATCAGGTTACTCGTGCTCAACATAATTAAAGGAGTTTTTGTGGAAATTATACTGTAAGTATGAACTTCTGTTCCTTTAGTGCTGGCATTTCCATAAACTTAATCTTCAACGCAAATAATTTTAAATTTAATTTTTTATCAAGTTACTTGTTAATTATTTGTTACTTTATTGTTCAGCATTACAAATACGTGCTAAGTGCTGTTTCTTATCCCTAGTAAAATAAATCGTGGTAAACTATTTCACCGTATTTTGATAATAAACATTGGTCGTGTCAAACAAATTTTACGATACATGTATCAAAGTACAAGTACTTAAAAACTTACATTCAAATTTGATATATAACGTACATGTATTCTCAACATTATAGTATAACTTTTATATATTAAATAATACAGCGATAAAGGTGTATTGAAAGGCCTAGTTGACACCTATTTATAGATTGTAAACTAATTTACATTGTACAATAAGAAAATAAATCTCAAATACAAAATATACGACTATTAGATTTTGAAACAGGAAAAAAAAATCGAAATTGATTTGGATTTGAAATGTGTAGAACAGAAAAAAAACCCGAACAGAATAGTTATACACAATATGTACATCCCTTACTGCTATGGGCTCAAACCCCATCAGGGACTTTGGATTCTTTCATGTGAGGAAGCTGTCCAGCTAGCTTACGGGGGTTCGGTAGTTCTACTCAGAGGCCCGTGCGTGCCCGAAAAATGCACAGAGGGTCACCCGAGACCTCCCTTACCAGTAAAGCTGGAAAATCGCCATAAAGACATTTTCAGTGTTTGGTGTGACGTTACACCAACCAAAACCAATGTGTACATCGTGCACATATATAAAATATTCGCGAATACAAACACAGTCATAGAAACAGTTTGGATTTTACAAACTACATGTATGTACAATAGTATTCTGAGAATGACTTGACTCATTCATAAGTCGAATTCTGCGATTTTATTGAATGTACTAAGTTTGTCAAGCGTATCTTTTTTTTTCAATACAATTAAGATATTTAATGAGCATATACATTTTATGCAATAATCCAAGCCTTATTAATCATTAAATAGCGTCTTAATTGATAAAAAATATTCATTTTTTTTCTTTACATGGCTGTAAAGATTTTACATTTATAACCTGTAGTACAGAGCAATTATTGAACGCAATTCTTGTCTAAAGCCAATCAACTGACCGACCGACCGACCAACCAGCCAACTAGCCAGTCAGCCGATCAACCAACTGACCGACCGACCAACCAGCCAACTAGCCAGTCAGCCGGACAACAAATTAACAAACCAACTATCTAACCACTCTAACACAAATTAATAGAATATGAGAAATTAATAAATAAAAATGAAAATATCTATCATATATAAAGTAAAGTAAAGTAAAGTAAAGTTATGTAAGTTAAGTAAAGTAAAGTAAAGAAAAGTGAAAATAATGTGAAGAAAAGTTAAGTAATGTGAAGTAATGTAAAGTAATGTGAAATAAAGTTAAGTAATGTTATGTAATGTAAAGTAAAGTAAAGTAAAGTCAAGTCAAGTCAAGTAAAGTAAAGTAAGTTAAGTAAAGTAAAGTAAAGAAAAGTGAAAATAATGTGAAGAAAAGTTAAGTAATGTGAAGTAATGTAAAGTATTATGAAAAAAAGTTAAGTATTGTAAAGTAATGTAATGTAAAGTAAAGTCAGGTAAGAGAAAAGTAAAGTAAAGTAAAAGTAATGTGAAGTATAGTTACGTAATGTAATGTAAAGTAATTAAAGTAATGTAAGTAAAACAAAGTAAAGTAAAGTTAAATAAAGTAAAATAAAGTAAAATAAATGAATAATCAAGATTGAAAATAAGGCTCCAAATGCCACCAAGCTTTTTTACGACTTTTTCAATGATATTGATTTATTTGATTTTAGAAAAAAGAACATGTACATGTACGTAATATCATGCACACTATCAGATTGAAAGAAATTGAATTTATTTTCTAAATAGAGTTCAACTGTCACAGTTTGAAATGTGTCTTTAAAAAGCCCGTGACTCCAGGTTCAAATTTTGATAAACCAATCTTAAATGAAATCTTCTTCGATCACTTTGTAAACTCAAAATCGCGTTACAGCTTGAAAATTTGTTTCAACATAAAGAAATTAAATAAGTTTCAATCATTAAAGTATACAGCTTATTTCAATACACTTAAAAAAAGTGTAAAATTTCGTTTTTAAAAATTCCCAACAGTTAATTGCGTTCTTTTGTAAGAACTTAGATGCTATCAATCCGTGTTTGTTAAATATTGAACTCTTAAATGCCCAGCGATTTAGTTAGGGACGACTTGGGTTGAGATATTAAACGTTTTAATGTAAACAAATTTCATCGTTTTAAAGGCTTTTGCTAAAGCCATGGTAAATTAAAATTGATAACAAGCCGGAAAGCCCTTACATTATTATCAGTCTGTTTAAAAAGAGGACATCAAAGTGAAATGAAAACCTATTACTGTTTTAGTCAATATAATGGTTTTAGTTATTAATAAAATGAACGTGTTTGAAAAACTGTTTGAAATTTCCATAACAAAAGAAAATAAATGTACACGCAATCGGGTTAAACATTTTAGCGTCCTTTTCAACGTACTCCGTAATTGTCCGGTATATTTAATGGAATGTTTTAGCATTGGATAAACTTAAAGAATGTCAGCCTAACAGCCTAAAGAAAACTAAGGATAGTGCAAACATGAAAACCGTCGGGAATGCATCAGTAGCACTTCCTTAGATCATTCCACGTCTTATTTCAATATAGTGATCTTTATTTTTTGTGAGTTAGCAGCCTAGCAGCCTTACAGCCTAAAGAAATCTAAGGATAGTACAAACATGAAAACCGTCGGAAATTAATTGGTAGCACTTACTTACATCATCCCACGTCTTATTTCAATATCGTGACCTTTGTTTTTAAAATATTTAACTTTATTCTTTTTTTCATTCTGACGTTTCGAAAGTAAAGTTAGCAGCCTAGCAGCCTAAAGAAAACTAAGGATAGTACCAACATGAAAAACGTCTGAAATTAATCGGTAGCACATACTTAAACTATTCCACGTCTTATTTCAATATCATGATCTTAACTTTTTAAAGTATTGAACTTATTTTTTTTTCATTCTGACGCTTCGTATTTTGTGAAGTTGGCAGCCTAACAGCCTGGCAGCCTAGAAGCCGTAAGAAAACTAAGGATAGTACAAACATGAAAACCGTCGGAAATTAATCGGCAGCACTTACTTAGACTATCCACGTCTTATTTCAATATCGTGAAACAAAATAAAAAAAAGCTTTTGAGAAATAAAAATCTAAGCATTTTGGGACATAATGAGTCTTCCATACTGTCCATAACAAATCGTCTATTTCACAAAATAGTTACCTGACTAAGTGCATGAATTTGACTTGTCGTAATGAAATTTAGACATAAAAAACGTGAAGCAAAATAAAAATATTTTTATTAACAGTTGTGGGTTAGAAAAGTGTATCTGAGAAGATTGCCCTCACAGTGTGAAATATACACACTTTAGAAATAACATTTAATTCATCGGCCGATGAACTTGTACAAGTAATGCAAATTGTGTCGATTCTTTAGCCTAGTAAATTGATTGCACGCGGCATTACTATTAATAAACATATCCCAGGCGTTGCAGTCAATATTTGAATAAAACGACGAAAAAGTGAATAAAACAAATTCGCATTTAAATGTCTCTGTACTCAAAACAATGCAAACAAATTATTAAAATTCATGATATATGTTTTTTAACATATAAGGTATTGACATGACTTAAATAATTATTTAATCGTTTATCAATTTATTTATATAAAAGTATTCAATAGGCAGTGTATCTTTTAAGTAACATTATTTTAAGCCGCTTAAACTTTTAAAAGTAGTTTCTTAACAGGGCTTAACCTCTAATTACATATTAAGTCGCGTTTTTAATCGTTTTTGAATAGCAGGAAAAAAACTTTCAAAATAGAGTTAAAAACTCTGCCTAAAACATATTTGTGACTTATGAATTGAAATTGTAACTTGTTTGTATGAAAACATTCTAAAAGGAATCGTTGATTGTATATCCGTATATACGCCTATGTGTTGCTGAAAATTTGTATTTATATAATTTTCATATCTTATTTAATGAAAACTAGGTTAAAGTACATTACTACACGGAATTTGCTGTATGTACCATTTAAATTCCAAATGTTACGTACTATTGTGACAATAGTATTGTCATTCTGCATAAAAAAAGAGGGTTTTCTGGTTAGGGCTATAGTCACATCGACACTGTGAGGTCATGCGGCGACTTTCCAACTTTTCTAAAGTAGGACCATCTAAGCTGCCTCTCCTTGTATTATTAAAAGCAAGTTCTGACACCCAAGTAGAACTACCGGTAGTCTGGTTAGCACTATAGGTAGAAGGTTGGACTTTTTCGTTGTCACTTTCATTGTAATAGATCATGAAATCCTTTCTATAGTCATACGCACTGTACCTCTGCTCTGGCATGTACAAAAGTTATCAAGATCAATTCCTTGCGAAAGTGAAGGCAACTAGTATTGGTAAATTACTTGACAGCCTGCCCAATAACGAAGCAATGGTTGAACTGTGCTCTGGAAAATTCTATGTGGCTTACTTCCGTGATCCGGGGTGAAAAACACTAACACCATCACAGCAGATAGAACCATCGACTTACCATACTAAAGCCAGGTATCTCCTACACATTAAAAATGTTATGTTTTTGGCGGGATTCAAACCCACAATAGAGAATCTAAATTTTCGTGTTATGTCACCATAGACGAGAAAATAACGTTTGTGTGCACAACGGTTTTACTTAATCTGACCAATGAAAATGATTCCTTTAGCTGTTTCTTCAATTGATTACTGTTCACCATAGAATTTTTAAACACAAAGAAACAATAAACGAAGTTCTTTATTTTTATGTGATCTGATATCTTTTTGTTTCTTCCAGATAAATCAGGGCAGTGGTGTGATATCAAATCATGAAATTTTCTTCAAGGAGGACCAATTAATATTTAATGAGAACGATAAAAACTTAAACTGATAAACGCTTCTGTTTCGACGTTCAATGTAAACTTGAATAGTTGAAGAGATACTTGAAAAAGGTGGAAAATACTCCGTTGTAGTAATAGTTTTATCCGGCGATGTCGCAATTCATCGTTGTTCAGTGATTGAAATTCATTAATAGTGGTATAATTCAATAACTGATCAAATCTAACTTTTCATCGGCAAACAAAATCCCCGTAGAGTTTGTAAATATTGAATTTGTTCATTTATAAATTTAATGGGAAATTATTGACCAAACTGAAACATCATTCGGATAGGACAATGATTTAAGATATTTTATACTTAAAAGGATATGTAAAAAATTCAGGTTGAAAACTTTAAGACATAACAATGTCGGTTGAAGTGAAAAACGAAAATTTATCGTCTGGTCATCTGATCGGCCAAAAGACAGATTCATATGGACTTCCGGTTCAAGAAAGTACTCCGAGGGGTTCTAACCCAAGGCAAATGTTAGGTTCTCCTAGTAAACAGTCATACGGCGTTCGTGTACCGGTGTTACGAGAAATAGACGGGAATTACCTTCGACAGAAGCCGGGGTCCTGCCGGTTTGATATAGTGGAGAAAGTAACAACTGTTATTAAACCAGGTGCATACGGGCCTGAGCATACTGAAGATGAAGCGATGGAATTAAGATCGCCAAAAACCTCTGAGGGCAATCAAAATAAACGAATTACCGTCACACGTCAGCCAACATTTCATTCCACATACTCAAGTTTTTCAAAGCACGATGATCATAAAGACAGCAGTGTGTTAGAAAAAATCGGACCATACCATTGGAATACTTGGGTTAAAACCGGTCGAGAAGGGGATGCGCGTGATGTCTTGTATAGAAACACATACTGTTTAGATCCGGAAAACGTACGTTACCGTACGTTGACATTACCGCGTATATCCACCTCTTCTTCCGCGGAAAGGCCATGGACTGTGGCGGGTGATGATAAACCTGTTATAACTAAAGCAGATCATGGAGAATACAACAAGGTCGTGACAATCGTACCCCAGCAGCCGAGGGGGACGGTAGTACGCTTCAGGGAATACATGAAACCTTCCACGTACACATCAGAAGGCCGCCCTTTTGCAGTAAAGAGCTACAGAGCAGGACCTGCTTTAAACGGTATCCCTACAACATTGAATGATGGATTTCCACTCATTCGACATGATTTTCGCCGACAGCCGAAGAAAACTGAAAGACCACTTAAAAGTGAAGGGCCACGATATAGTCTGAAAAGGAGTAAAGAGACATTGTTTAATAAACATATTCTGCCGGCGTATAAGCAAGCATTTAATAGAGATTATAGTTCAGCAGATACATTTAAGGAATACCTTGAAAGTCTGCAGCCCACTGCACAAGCTAACACTCCCGGAATGCACACACGTGCTTTGGTTTCTAGAAACACAGAATCACGTGAATTAATGAATTACCATAACGAGGCTCTGAAATCGGTATCAGACGTCAATCAACCACAAGGAAGTAATCCGACTATAACCGATGACCCTCATGAAATATCTGTAAACATTAGAAAGCAATTGAAAAATGACGATCAGAACTTGGATCAAACAGACGGTCAAAAGCCTCTTATGATAGATAATTTGTCGTCTGTTCATGGAAGCATTGTGCGCGCGCATAGTGATATACAGTCTGTCACAGTTCCACGAAGCAGTAGTATTGTAGAAGGTAAAAGTGTAGTTAAAATACCAGGCGTTGTGACCGAGGCGTCAAATGTGGAGCCCGAGAGTGGCGCAGTAGAATCAAAGTACCCGAAGGAGGAAGACGGCTCGCATTGTCCTGCAAATACTCCAACCCCCGACGACCAGCCTTAAATGTTCTAAACTCTTGCCACTTTCATCTTCCACTTATTTTTGAAAAACTGTTTTATTACAAAAGATATTGTCGATATGTTGTTCTTGTTATAAAGACATCTTTTATTGATTTACTTGTTATGCAACTGTTATTGTAAATGTGTTATTTGCTCAAATATCTGTGCTTCTGAATTGCAGTAATATATACATACTTTATATATACTATGTATACTAAATTTATGTTTTGTACAAGAGACAAATCTATTCATTTTACATGTTAAAAACTGTGCAAGGATGTGTCGTTGATGTTGAGACAATAAAATAAGTAAAATACTGTAAATTCACTTAATTTCGTAGGTATGACATTTCGTGGCTATGTCACAAAGAACACTTTTCGTGGGTTCTTAAGTTCGTCTACTGTTTATTTTTTTCAAAATGGAAAGTGTAAATAAAGTAATACAAAATAATCTGCCAGCAGACGAAATAAAATTTCGTTGGGTCTTAATTTCGTGAATTGGCCTTTCCACGAAAACCAAGAAAATTAGTGCCTCACGAATAATAATAATGATTTTGCATAAATGGTACTTATCTTACATGAGATAATTTTTGTGACTCTAGAACATAAACTAGCCATGCCAGTAGGACGATAGTACTGTCAACAATAAACGAGAGCTGTTCATAAGGAAACATCCTTTATTTCAGCGATGAAGGGAACACATTCCACAAAACTGTGAACGTCAACCATAGATGTTATGTTTCCGATCTATGAAGGACGGCCAATACGACTTAAATGTTTCACGCAGGCTTAATTACATCTAATCATCTCTCAATCTTACTTTTTATAATCCCACCGTTTGTTTTCTCATGTAGGAACTTAATGCGGATTTTCATGATAACTGTGATATGAACACATCTGCGTATGCTAAATTTTAATATATGTACTTCAATGAAATTTTAATATATGTACTTCAATGAAATTTTAATATATGTACTGTTGAAATCTGTCTAAGTCTATAGGTGAATTGGATGGGGCGTGGTTTTGGACAGTAACTCTTACATTACACCATGTATAGAAAAACTGTTTTAGGCTTAAACTTTAAAAAGTAAAATGTGTAAAAGTGAAATTGCCCTTTGGTTTTAATACATTCACGATTTCGGGTGCAATGTCTTAATGTCGCTAGAAATGATTGTTTGTATTAATATTTTCCCTTTTCTTTGAGCTAAGTATGCCATTCACGGAACTCATCGAGGCTGCAAAGAGCATACAAAAAGAATCTGGATATTGAACGAAAACAAAGAAGAGTTTTCTATTTTAAATGCTTTATAATGTTATATGAGCCAAAAGAATGTTATATGAGCCAAAAGAATGTTATATGAGCCAAAAGAATTAGAACTAAATCAGTAAATGCGATATCAGCGGAACACAGATGAACTATAACCGTGGAAATGTACACGTTTTGCATACCTTCTGTTATCACGGAGGTCAGAAACAAGTTCCGGGTGTTCTAAATGGTATCTGAAGGTGAAAGAAGCATAATTAGCATGATAAAAGATGCAAGGGAAAGTATATCGTTTTCCTGGCTACTATTGCTAGTATAAAGTGTGTGTTTATTTTCTCAGCTCAATAGAATAAAATTATTTTTTATGATAAAAATCTTTATTTTTTACACATTAAACTCATTTCATCTATCATATTTGATCAAAATTGAGTTGTTATGTCTACGAACAGCTTCGGGTATAGTATCAGTGTTGAAATGTGGAAAACATATACATGTATTTATTTGTTTGTCGTCTGCTACTGCAGGTGCGCGCATTTTAGTATGTACGTTAGTGCGAAGGTTTCAAGTGTATAAACACATTAATCTTTCTTTAGAAAACTAATCATTAAATTATGCGTAAGGTAATCTTTTGTTCAAGAAATTCCTGACTGTCAGAGGTATTTCCTTGACATATTTCGCTAAAATAGGTTAGACATGATCTTGGAAATATAAAATTAACTTCATATAAAATAAAAAATAACCTATAACAAATCAGCATAACTCCTGTCTGGCGCTGAAACCCAAATCCCGGTTTGAGAATAACAAAACACACACACGCGCGTACACGCATGCACGCACGCACACACGCACACACACACTTTCTGACCGTAAATGTTCACCTTATTGTCGTAAAATTATCATTGACTTGTATCCAGTAGCTTTTATTGACGACCTTCACTCCCTTACTATTTAATGGTGTTCTTTGCTTTGTTATCGAATATGTGAAATTACGATTACATAAGATGATACACGTATATTGTCTATTGTTTTTCTAATACGGCGCGCACCTGTATCACAATGACATACCTGTATAGCACCGGACAATCATATTGAATAAATGTTGCAGTATTTACTCTTTCACACTGATTCTTTACCAGAAGCTGTTGGTAGTCAACAGAGGTGTTATAATGATCAAACATAAAAGGTAAAATGACTTTGATATATAAAATGAAACATGCTTTATCAAGATACAAGCTGTTTTCACCGAAACGGGTCGTAGGGAAAAGAAAAAATACAACCGTTAAAAAAGTAGAAAGATCGAATTAGAGTTTTCATCTTTGAAAATATTTGATAAAAAAATCAAAATCATCAGAATGGAGCACCACATACCTCCGATTTAGTGCACAAAATGAGCATCCGGAAATAGAAAACCTGATTTCATGGTTTTAAGAGTGGCGTGTCTACGAGTCCAAATAAAGTAAAATAAGCGCAAAAAATATTATAAAATGCATTTTATACTTAACATAACTTTACTCTATTAATACCTAACCAAAAGTAAAAATTAAATATTTATATACCACAATAATAAATTATTTCAGTATTTTACCTTCTATGTGCATCAGTTTTTCGAGAGCTACCAATGATGTCTGTAATACAGGGTATTCGTAGATTGTTCTCATCTCTGTTAGTCCAGCTATTGAGAGATTTCTGCTTCCAAACTGGCTGGACAAACGATAAAGGAACTTCCTGCATGTAATTGTGTGCCCTTTGCTCTTTAGTCGACTCTTCATTTGCTCGCCATAATAACTCCCTTTGATCAAATGGAATAGGTTTATACTGTTGGGAAATTAGGTCAGACTCGTACTCGTGCTGTGCGTTCTGACAATAAGCAGACGACGGAAGTTTGAACCGATAATTATTTGTCAAGATTGGCGGTTCTTCAGTACAACATGTTTCTTTCAAGGAGTCTTGCCAAGGACCAAATGTATCTTTGTTAACAGCTTGGGCACACTCGTTTGTCTTGTCATCTGCTTTTGCGTTTTCTCCCTGTCCTTGAATAACACCTTTTCGGGTATCCATGCCTGTTTTATTCTTCATACATATACTACACGTATCATTTAAGCAACCACAAACCTGTGTTTGAGTCTCCAAGATTCCCGGACCGTTTGTCGTATTGAAATTGTTTTTATGTGCATGGTCAAGGTCATCTTTCTGAGCAGAAGTATTTTCAGTTTTACCGCCAACGTAACCAGTCTCGTCTGAATCGTATAGTTTAGACTGGAACTCGGCTAGTTTTGTCTCAAAGTCTTTGTTGCAACCGCCATACCAACAATAATGACATGGATCCGGGTGATTGTGAATCCGACTACAAGTAGGGGTTTCAATATAGCCATGGCCCTTAGAAAGGCGATACTGAGCGTCACGTTGTGCTTTAGCCATCATAAAGTCAGATGTATCTGGTACAATAAGGAATTATATAAACGTATTTAAAATAGATACAAATAATAAATTGATAAATAGATTTGGCAAAAATCATAAAATTGCAAAAGGGATATCATGATTTTTTAACCTGTAAGAAGGTGAAGTCGTGAACTGTAGAATAAGAAAAGTGATAGGGTGAATATTAATTTAGACGAACTCATAATAGAGATTAAAGTAATAGGAATAGCATCGAAACATAAGGCTATATGATTTGTGCGAGGTATGAATTGTTAACACGCGCTAAATGTTAGTGTTATACTATAGGCGCGTCAATGCAACTTTACCTTTTTGGGTATGTGATAAAGCAAATATATGAATAGGCATACAAGAAGCGTAATATATGTAGAAGAGTTATACATTATAAGTAAGAATATTTACCTTGAAATGTACTGCTGGTACGTGTAGTTCTATATAATCTTGTGACATTGTCTTCAATTGCTCTTCGTGTTGCGTCCCCAAGAACGCTCCGACCGTCTGCAAAATCATTTTTGAAGAAAATCTATTATACTTGTTCCCAAACATTTAATGAATTAAACTTCAAGCGTTTGTTGTGATAAGAAAATGTTTTATGGCCTATAGCAAAGAGGAAGGAATTATTATAAATACCTTGAAGTCTTGATGCGTTATTTTTCGGAAACACCTCCCATGTCGAGTCTCTCGGAACCCTTCGCCTGGCATTTGTGGAAGGATGCCTCAGTACTGTCAAATCTAGCTCATTTGGTTTGGGGAACCTTCACAAAATGAAAACAATGATCAAATAGGTCTGCAGTTATTTATGTAACTTATAGATTTAGATTGAGAATTATTTTATTATGTTTGTTTTAAATTTATGAAATTCAAACAAGTCAACGTGTGGCCAACAATATGGGTTGTAATTATTTTTGCCAATACGGTTTTACAAGATGCATGTACAAAAGAGATAGTATTTAAAGTTGTACGTACATATATTGCTAAACTAAGGATATTTTTGTCTCCTGTATTGCGCTAGGAAAATTCTACTAATGCAGTCATGCATTAAAAGTACATGTATAGGTATATATTTAGTGTCGTCATGATTAGAAAGAATCGTTATAATAGAAACGAGCGATTTTGACTTACATGTATTTATTATAATTATGACTTACAGTAATTTTTTAGAATTATGACTTACATGTAACCTTGATGTTTTAAATACTCCGGGTTATCAGGTATTGGGTGGCAGAAGTCATAGCTATTGCGGCTGAAAAAAACCCACTCTCTGTAACATCTGTTATTGCCTTTCTTTTTGTAACTAAAGTTACATTATACTCTACTGTATGCGTTTCTCGACATGAACATTGACAAAAAGGTAAAATAATCATAATAACCGTTAGTATATGACAACGTTGGTGATTTGATAATTTGATAAAAGGTGATATTATGGTAACTATGGTGATAACTATTATCATTGTAATGATGATGATGATGATGTTGTTGTTGTTGTTGCTGATGATGATGATGATGATTATGATGATAATGATGATGACTATGATGATGATGATATGATGATAATGATGATTGTAAGGATGTGGATGAGAGATGACTCTCAGTGGTAATAAAATATGATCAATTATTACTGTCGCCATTACTACTACTGCTACTGATGAAATAATAATAATAATAATAATAATAATAATAATAATAATAATAATAATAATAATAATATAATGTAATAATAATAATTAATATAATATATATAATATAATAATAATAATAATAATAATAATAATATTATAATAATAATATTATTATTATAATATTAATAATATAATATATTATTATTCTTATTAACATAATATTTTGCTGATGATTGGGATGAGAAAATTGCGGCAATATGATTGATGACAACGATGATGATTATATAAATGCAATGTATACGGATAATGGCAGGTACAGTAAGGACGATGATATGATTGATGATAGAACAAGTATATGATAATAATGATTGATGATAGAACAAGTAGAAAAAATATTTAAGACAAGAATTTTTAACGTCAGTTTTTCTGTTTTACTTATATTACGACACATGCATTTTTTTACTTGGGGGACATTTGCCACTTTTCGTGAAATGGCACTAACGTGTCACATTGAAGGTTCCATGATGACAGCCATAAGAACACATCTGCGGATGTTTCAAAATTCAAATTGTCATCATTTTTCATGTTTAAGTTCTAAGCAATGTTAAATGTTGAATTCTGCTTAAGCCGGTGCTAGCGGGTAACTTGAACATTCCAGTGCCGTCCATGGACAGGCTCGATCAAACCGAGCCTGCAACATTTACATATTTGCCGTGTTGGGCTTTCTTTTGGGATTCTGTTTTTCTCTTTTTTTGTTAAAAATAGAACAAAAAAAACTTCACGAATTAAATTAAAATAATGCATAAATATCACATACTATCTGGTATAACCGAAATGCGCTCGTCCATCATCTTCTCCCCATAGTGAACATCGTGAACGTCCTAAACCGGGGATGATATATCCTGGCAGGGGAGGTAAACTTTTACACAAGTCACTGAAAATTGATCGAGACATATATTATCATCTACTTTGATGAAATACAAGCAACCAGATGAACGCATTTGGAGCACGCCTCCGGAGTCAGGAAAAATAAGGCAGTGTTAAAGGGACTCCACTGAGATTTCTTGACGGGACTGGAAAAAATTTAGGTTTCTTGACATGACGGTACTAGAAATATTTTCCCAGATTTGTGTACTATTTGGTGTTAGTCCAGACCAATAACTTGTGTACAAATTTTCAGGTCATTCCCACACCGAGCTTTTCAAAAATGATTATTCTAATTGTGAAAACAAAAAAAAAAACCCACAAAATACGAGTTTTGTTTGTTTTTTTATTTATCTTTCTTTTTCATAATACATTGTAATATTTTGCAGATCTCAGTGCCCCAGCTTATCTATGTAAGAAATTTTAATTTCATGTTTTAGACTTTTAAACCTCAGTGTTTTTATTATAAAAAATAGATGTCTTATCTAGCTAGTCTGATACATAATTCTACATTCACAAAAATATTTCAAACTATCATTTCATTAGATACGAGAAGAAAAAGATGTGAAATTGTTACAAAATATATAATTTAAGACGTATCTCACATTATTTTAAGAATTAAGAATGCTTATTTATTAAATTTTGTAAAACATGATGACTGGACAATTTTGGCGTACAAATGAATCAGTAAAACAAGATGTCTGGCCGACTCAACTATTAATTTAATCGAATATGTGTGGCTTTAATCATCTCTTCATGCGGACAGAAAACTTTAAGGAAGAATGATTAATATACTCTACATACCCAATGTATGGCTGCGGTTCCTTGTAAGCACGAAACATTCCGTAGCTAATTGGCGACAAATGTTTTTGAACGGCACACGCCGTCATTTCTTACTCAATTTACAGCTCAAATTAATTTACTACAGCATTTTTATCTATTGAAATAGCAAAAAAATCGACTACAGCGCTTGCTGTATAATCGACGTAACTAACGTCATGAGAAATTAGATGTCAACGTCATCCTCTAACGTGACGTCATAATAGTTGTTCAGATTTACGAAAAACGCTACGTGACATCGGTCATCATACTGCTAATGATGCGTACGTAAACTGCGAGTTGTTTTTGTTGTTTTTTTTAAAGAAATTAAAACGTCAGACCAATGCAAAAGTGTTTAGAAAATTCGAGGAAATCGGAAGGATCAAACCTAGCCATTAGGTTTATTAGATTTATCAAAAAATGTTTGCAGAATAAAATGAACTTACATTGTGTTTTCAGCCCAACCTGTTGATTTAAAAATACATACGTATTGACGAGACGACATGAGTATCTATGTGTGATTAATGTGTTGAGCATATTTAAAACTGTCTGGGAAATAAATTTTGTTTACAAAAAATGTTTTTAAAATATTCAAAGACACGTTCGCTCCGTATTTCTGTTTAGGATGCATCCGCCGCCCGATTAGCTCAATATGTATAGCGTTAGGTTGTGAATGGGGCGACCCCTGTTGTGATTGATCATGAATCCTTCCTAAGGTCATTCGCACTGTACCTCTGCTCTGACATAAACAGAACCGAAAGTGAGGTAAACTGCTTGAAAGCCTGCCCAGGAACGATGCGGTGGCTGAACTGTGATCCAATGGATTCAAAATATCTTACTGCCATGATCCCGAGGGGAAACTACCAACTTCGACTGTGTTATAATTTTTGGACATTCTGAAAGAGGGTTTTGTTTGTGAACATCTCTCTTTTGACGAAAACTTGGCCTTTCCGTACGCTCATGAATATATATTTTTTTACATGTTAATCTTAAGTATATCTTAAGTATCAAACTTCGATATATTCAATCTTTTCTTTCCTTGCATTCTCCTTTCATCTAGCATTTCACCATAATTTACCTTAGTTTCCCTTTAGTGATAATTCAACAATCTATATTCTCTTATTCTTTGTTACAAGTACATTCAAAGAGCTTACATCTAACCGCAACATTTTTGTATCTTTATCTTGAAAATTATTTTTTACTGGAGAGGAATTAATATAAGTGTCGTTTTACTTGTTTTCCAATCCAGTCTGAATGACATTGTTGTGCAATGTTTGTAAATGTCATTTATGTACAATTTATTGAATAAATAAAGTTTAAACTAAACTACCAAAACCACCATCAGGGCATGCGAAATAGTTCATAATACAATTAGGTTTTAGTTCAGTTGTAATTAAAAATGAATGTTTCGGAAAGCTAAAACTTGTTTACTACGAAAGACCGGTGGGCCATTTTAACTTCACAATTCAGCTTCGTGAATTCAAGATTTTAACTTAATGAATTCTCGATTACAACTTCGTGATTTCGCGATTTCAACCTAATGAATTCACGATTTCAACTTCACGAATTAACAATTTCAACTTCATGAATTCACGAATCCAGCTTCATAATTTAATGATTTCAATTTCATGAAGTTGAAATCGCGAATTTGTGAAGTTGAAATCATTAATTCGTGCAACTGAATTCGTGAAAAATGAAATCGTGAATTCCTGAATTCTAAAGGACTTAGTAAATTGTGTTGGTATATCATTGGGGGTGGGAGTGGGAATATTGGCCATTTACTGCTGCTTGTATGTAAAGTATCAGTAAGATGGCAATGAGTAATGCGACATTGCTGAGTTACAGAAGCAGTCTTATTCAGAACACCTTGCCGATTGAACACAATCATCTCGGAAACAACAAGGATTGAACGTAGTTCTCACACGTCATTTTTTGCATAATAGGTAACAAGAGGTAATAAAAGAAAAAAAGTGTATTTTAATATTAGTGTGATTGAAAATTCATGTCTGGTAATTAGAGCAAAATTTAAGAATCGATGCAGAGATTAGGTGTACATTTGTATTTGTTCTTGCTTTTTATTGTATGTAGTGATTTTTTTCATCTGGTGGGCTTCGGAAAAAAAGTAATTTTACGAGTGACGTAATATCAAAATTGATGAACCGTCATTCATACTTTCGATTTGTAAAAAACATAATGATTTGCTAAATAAATATGCCCTGCACATTTTTTTTAAAATAACTTTAAATTTACATAATTTGTCGACACGATGTAGTTATAACTGTGACTGAGAGGTTGCCTTTGATGGTTGAAGCATAAAAATTGCAGCGACCGTTTATTTCTGAATGATAGGCGACTATTATGGGCTTGAATATCTAGAGTCTATGCATCTCTTGTATCATAGTTTGGGGACCTTTCTGTTGAAAACGTGTCAGAGTTAAATCGTATACATATACATGCACAGTGCGTTAACTGGAGTGCAGGTATTAGTTACCCGCACTCCAGAGCATTCCCATTGATTGGTTCGTTTTGTCTGGGGTTTACATATTGTGACGACAGAGAAAGGGATAGCGATAGAGATATCATATTTAGATGCTCGTTCATTGGTTCCTTTTTTCTGGGGTTTCATATTGTGTCGTCAGGGAACGTGTATTTATGTTTGACTATGATACAAGAGAGAAAGAACATCAAAACACTCGGCAATCCGATTTATACTCGGGGGCTACGCCCCCTCGTACAAATCAGATAGCCTCGTGTTTCGATGCTCTTTCTATTACTTAGCTCCAGCAGGTGAGGTGGTTTTGATCCCTGGTGTTGGTTTGGAGCAACCCGAAGTTAGCCCAAACCATCTTTCCTGTTTTGGGCCATATGACCTAATACTGTGCTGGTGTGCCATAAAACCAAACAAAAGGATATGATAAATAAACTAAGTTAACACACACAATGTTTCTCTATTCATGATTAAGTTGGTGTGAGATGAAATATATTCTTGATCTCTGTCGTGTAAATTGTAAGACTATACAGGAACTGTCGATGGATAAGTGTTCAAATCAAGCAACTCAGTTTAATACTTTTATTTATGATATGCACTTTTCATCTCATAATAATATAGCAATGTTAAACAGACTTTAAGAACAATAAAACAACAGTGACAAAGTTGATACTGACATGATAGTACATGTTTTTACATTTGTACTAATCATAAAAACAAAATAGTAACAAAATTGCTTGTAATCGGTAATAATGTTTAATGCCTTATAATAAAATGATTAAGAGATACATATATAATGTTTTATTAATTGAAAGAACATGTCCACCAATGAAAAGTTGTAAACTTATACTGCCGAAAATATAGACAAAAAAAGACAAAAGACAGATGGTTTTATATTAATATGACTATATTAGAGATATGCGGAAAGTGATTTTGAAAAGGTGTATCAAATGAATTACTTATGAAAACAAAATAATCCAAAACATTAAGAGATGACTGCATGACTGCGCATGCTCAACAATGTACATGTATTTACCGACATGTACGTAAGCAACTATTACCAGTTTTGTAATTAGAACTTCACCTTGTTATTGTTTTTTCCCATATCATCTTAAAGCGGTACATCTCCAAATTATTTAAATAAATCTTGAATAAAAAAATAAACAGGTTAAGAAAAATGAATTTATTGACGAAGAAATAAGCATATGTTAAGAATTCGGACGAAATTCTGAACTTTATTTTATTCCGTTACTAATGCAGTAACAAACAATTTGATTATTTTGACAATTTGTCGGCAAATAGTTGAATCACTTCATTTTTATACTTTACAACTTTACAACATTCATAAGAACTAATCTGGATGTATGCTGATATAATGAACAACATCATTAAAAATACTGATCATAATGTTTTTATCAAGATAATTTGCTTACAACAACGCATAAACATCATCTAAAATCTCAATAAAAAGTTAACTATTGCTTAATTAAAAAATGCATTTACTTATTTACATGAACAGGAAATAAATTGAGTTTGATACAAAAACTTTTATTATTGTACCTGTTGTTTTACACGGGAATCTGAATTTATATTAACTTATTTACAACATAATACTGAGTCAACTATAAATATACATAATCATTTACATTTAAAATTTAATTGCTAAACATTAGAAACAGCTATCAATCCATTGCTTCGACTTCGGGTTAAGTAACAAAACTAAAGTAGTGTCTCAAAGTAGTCCCTCATGTAAAAAAAAACAACAAAACTAAGTGGAGTCCCTTAACAACAACAAATTTTGGTGTATTGATTTGGGCCATGAAACACCTCACTAAATCTGTAACAATAAACTTTAAATTATATCAACAACAATATGAATTAGTATTTTTTATTAAAAAAAAATATGCCTTAGTATGAATATGGTATGAATGGAGACAATGAAAATAATTTTTATACCAAAAACAAAATGACCAGGTATTTTTTTTTATCAAATAGAATATGATTTGGTATGATTAAAGCAATAATAAAAAATATCTTAGAAAAAAGAACAATACTACTTGGTGATTTTTTCTTCAAATAAAAATGGCTTGGTATGAATCTAAACAATAAAATGTATATCTTTTTACAAAAAAAAATATAATAAAATGACTTGGTGATATGTATCAAATAAAAATAAAAATAATCATATCTTTTTACTAAATAACAATGTGGAACGATGATTTATTTTCAATAGAATATGCTTATGTATGAATTGATATAAAAATAATCATAACTTTTTATTAAAAACAATATGAAACTAGAGGATGCTTTTGTAAAAAAGCGCATGTCTCCCCCACTGCTGAGAATAACTGTGAATGGAAACAGGAATGGAAATGGAGATAAAAGAACAGAGTATATAAAACCAGACAACTGATATATCAATAATAGTTAAATGTCCTCACTGATAAGAACTCTAGTTATCATCCGGAAATGAGAAAATGACCAATGGTCACTGTGACCTTAACCTTTGACCTCTTGACCCCATAAACAAGAGGGATCATCTGCTCAATAAGACCAATCATCCTATGAAGTTTGAGGGTTGTAGGTCTAAAGGAACTCTAGTTATCATCCGGAAAGGAGAAATTAACCAACGGTCGCTGTGACCTTGACCTTTGACCTACTGACCATTAAAACAATAGGGATCATTTGATTAATAAGACCAATCATCCTATGAAGTTTGAGGGTTGTAGGTCAAAAGGAACTCTAGTTATCATCCGGAAATGAGAAATTGACCAACGGTCACTGTGACCTTGACCTTTGACCTACTGACCCCAAAACAATAGGGATCATCTGCTCTATAAGACCAATCATCCTATGAAGTTTGAGGGCTGTAGGTCAAAAGGAACTCTAGTTATCATCCGGAAACGAGAAATTGACCAACGGTCACTGTGACCTTGACCTTTGAACTACTGACCCCAAAAACAATAGGGATCATCTGCTCAATAAGACCAATCATCCTATGAAGTTTGAGGTCTGTAGGTCTAAAGGAACTCTAGTTATCATCCGGAAACGAGAAATTGACCAACGGTCAGTGTGACCTTGACCTTTGACCTACTGACCCCAAAAACAATAGGGATCATCAGCTCTATAAGACCAATCATCCTATGAAGTTTGAGGGCTGTAGGTCAAAAGGAACTCTAGTTATCGTCCGGAAACGAAGAATGGACGGACGGACTGACGGACTGACGGACGGACGGACTGACGGACGGACAGGGCAAAAACAATATGTCTCCCCCCGAGGTGGGGGAGACATAATTATGATTTATTTAAAATAGAATATACGTGAACAGTAAAAATAATTATAAATTTTTACTAAAAACAATATGGAATGTTGATTTATTTAAAAAAAAGAATATGATTTGGAACAATAAAAATAATCATATCTTTATAACAAAAACAATTTAAACAAATTTATTTCAAATGGAATATGCCTTCGGATGAATTCGAACAATAAAAATAATCATATCTTTTTACTAAATACAAAATGTAATGATGATTTATTTCAAATAGAATATGCATTTTTATGAACTGGAACAATGAAAATAATCATATCTTTTTACAAAATGATGATTTATTTCAAATACAATATGGCAAGTATAAACATACACATATAGCACAACACAAATTCTCATATCAAATCGTCATTTGAAGACATGAGTTCTGATATCCAGTTTCATATCTACCTAACACAATTATACACACTATAACTGTAGTAATGCTCTTTGTTCATGTGACCACATTTCGTTTACTTGCTCTGTCCATCACGTTTGCTTAAGTTTATGGCAACAGAAGGGTACCAATCACTAGAAGTTGTATTCTGTGGGATATGAGAGCTGCGGGGAACCATTCCATTATAATAAGACCACCACAAGTTTCTCATGGCAAGAATCTCTTTGGAATATGCATTAACGTTCATTGCTTGAGCACTGTACTGCTGCGGGTAACCATACTGATTATAGTCACGTGACCATTGATCACCAACAGTCATGGGAGTAGAATTGTAATAACTTGACCCATAGTATGTAGGATGATAGGCGCCTTGTGGGTACTGATATCCATAGTGTGGGTAATTGTAGTATGTCGTCTGCCTTTTGAATTCAGCTGTCGTCTGCTGTGCTGACGTCATTTCCTCGTAATGTTTACGTTTAAGAGATGGCCTTTTGTCAATAATACTAGAATATGCACTATCATAGTCAGATACTGTGCTCTGTGGAGTTGGAACAGAGTCGTTTCTAGCGTTCAGAAAGTCAGACACACTTCCGGTAAGTGATCCGGAATCACCTTGGAAACATGGTTTTGGTGGTAGATTAATGTCTTTTTCCAAATTGTATTCATTTGAATCATCAAAAGGAGGGAGGCCAAGCTCATCCTGTAGAGTGAATTTGTAATGTTGATACTTTGGTCCTTTGGCTTGTCGATTAAACGTGTAATGTTTCACATACTTTGTGTTGACTTTCCATACAGACGACACTGCCGATTCTTGATCATCACTTTTGTGTAGTTTGTAGAAACATTTACTGTTTGAGAGAGCATGGCGGACACTATTTTTCCATCCCGTATACTCGCCTCTAAAGAAAGGAAACATCTCCATAAGTTTATCACGAATGCCAGCAAGCGTAAGTTCTTTCTCCTCAGAATTCAAAATGGCGACTATAATCATTGCTACGTATGTGTAAGGGGGTTTGTCTTCTTGTCGTTTGTACACATTTGGATCATCACAAACTTGGCCTTGATCTGTGGATTTCAACTGAGCGTCCGTGGTAAATGTTGGATATAGCGAGTCACTTACATTAGATCGGGGTGGATTTTCTGTTTCCAGCGTTTGATGTGTAAATGTGATGTTTAGGCCTACATCTTTTGCGGGTGTAGAATGACGTGGACTATAGCAATTACGTTCAGTACCAAGAATATTGTCCATATCAAAAGATCGATTAGTAATCTCTTTTATTTCACCGGAAATGACGTCTATTTCAGAAGATTGGTTTGCGTTGTAGGTCAGACACTCACATTGATATTTCCATAGACTTACATTATAAGAAATGGTCCCTTATCCTACCTTAAAATTCAGTTTTCATGCTAAAGAGGTATTTTTTCTAGCAGAATGAAATGCCTGACACATAAAAATGTTTCTGTTATATAGGGGTAGCCGACCAAATTTTTTGCAAATTGACTTCAAAGAGGATTACCCCCCATTTCATTGAAATTTTCTGCTGATCACAGGACTGACATACACTTTTTATAAATGCAAATATCCAAGTCAAAATTATCACAGAGACTCATGAAATATTTCATTTTCTTCAGAAAACATTGTAGTGTTACTTTTTAAATTAGTTTTTATACTTAAAAACACCCCACTTTCATCCAATCGCCTCATGTATAAACTGAATCATACGGTTTTCCCTGCACTTTTTTTCAGCCAATCACTGGCCGTGTTACAATACGATACCCTGACCTAAAGGGAATATTAAATGTTTAGTATTCTAAAATCTAATAATAAATGAAGTTGCATATACAATTACCAATAATGTGGATGCATTTTCACCACTCTTAAGTCATTTAAAACTTTGAAGTTCCCTTTTTTGCAACAAGCGCCGTTATGCCGCATTCCGGATATTCTGAAAATGAATTTTAGCATGTGATTTTCATACTTAACTCATTATTCTGAAGCCAATTTTGTAACAACTTCCATAAAATCACACAGATAGCAAAACTACACTGTTCTCATTACAGAAGTGCTTCAAAATACTAATTTTGTAACAAAAGGATGCAGCAGGGAGCAATTTTATCACCCCACCCATATCAAAATAAGTGATTTTTCACCCAAATTTCAACATTTTATTACCAATAGACTTCCTGAATGAAGATTTAGCTTAGCAAACATACTTAATAACTACTGTATAATGACCTGATTATGGATTACACATTATTTGTACACACATAGCAACATTTTGGGTGTAACTAGGTATTTCAAAACTGCCCTGCTATAGTTTTCTACTCCAAATATTTGCATATATAGTCTTAAATACAAGCCTAAATGTCAATAAAATGCCAAAATTCTTTTTATATTTTTTGTCTCTCTCTTACATGGATATAAAGAAATGCAATATATGGAAAAACCAAGTTCCTCTGGATTTAACAGCACAGTAAAAGCCTAATATTTGACTTCTACACCCATTTTTTGGTCATTTTTGCATTCATTTGGAGTCAAATATGACAATTGAAACCTTCTTTCAGGTGTTTTAACATGTAAATCACCTCTTCAGACCAAAATGTACTTGGAATGGACAGTAATGTGTATTTTTTTCTCATTTAGGTAGCCAGAAACTAGAATTTATGCACTTATCTAAGTTTCTCAATAAATAAAGGGAGGTAATTCACTAAAGTTGTGCATAATCACACCCTTTTTATACATTTATCTACCAGAATAAGTGCTTTTTCTGTTTATAGACACATCACAGACACTAAAGCTGTGTTATAATTGTGCCTGATATGATTGTGAAAAAGTAGATCAACTTTTACTTATCAATAAAACTTTTCTACAAAACAATTCTACCCTTGGCCATTATGATGCACATTCAATTATGCATTAAACAGACATAATGTCTTAAAACTATGGCATTATACAATTGTGAGTGTGTAAATATGTATTACCAAATAGAAAACAATAAATTCTTATCACTATTTTGCATCTTAACCACATAATAAGAGGCTATTCAGAGGCAACCTAACTGAATTATGCTACATTTTTCAATGGATTTGAATTTCTAAGTATGTGTTGATATTCATGCCCTGAAACCAAGTAAATTTTAAGACAGAAGCCTTAAAATGATATTTATTTGAAGCTTTAATGCTATCTATGCCTGGAAATGAAACACAAAACATTCTTATATAGGAAACAGACAAAGAAGCAATTTATTTGTGACATTCTATTTAAATATTTGAGCAAAATGGTAAAAATTAGTGCCGAGCGAAGAAATTTCCGCCCCTAAATAAAGTCGAAAAGTTAATCGAAACAGCACCCTAAACTTTTTTAATTATTATATATCAGTTTTGAACCTGACAATATGCATTTGTAATGATATACCTGCAACACCCATCAAAAGTGGCCAATGTGCTTACATCAGGTCCTGTCAAGTTATACATGAAGTTTTCAAACCTGGCATGTGTATAGCCAATGTACAGCATTTCTTTTAAATCTGAAAAATATTTTTAATGACCAAGGTCTACATTATTCATCATCAACATATCACCAATTGATTATCACTCAAATTCACTGTTCAAAGAAAATATAAACCATTATTAACTCTTATGTAACACTAATACTCTTGTTCATATGTAAACAATGCTTGTAGATTGACCCCTTTGACACATTATCTGCTGTAAACACCAACAGTTGCACTGAAATAATGAAATATCATACCTAGACAGGCTGTATACATCCATTCTTCCAAAATATCAGTTTTTCATGGTGTAATCAATGAAGACAAAGTTCTACTGTGAATTATGACAGTTCCAATTTCTTTCTCTTTAGGTCAGACACTCACATTGATATTTCCATAGACTTACATTATAAGAAATGGTCCCTTATCCTACCTTAAAATTCAGTTTTCATGCTAAAGAGGTATTTTTTCTAGCAGAATGAAATGCCTGACACATAAAAATGTTTCTGTTATATAGGGGTAGCCGACCAAATTTTTTGCAAATTGACTTCAAAGAGGATTACCCCCCATTTCATTGAAATTTTCTGCTGATCACAGGACTGACATACACTTTTTATAAATGCAAATATCCAAGTCAAAATTATCACAGAGACTCATGAAATATTTAATTTTCTTCAGAAAACATTGTAGTGTTACTTTTTAAATTAGTTTTTATACTTAAAAACACCCCACTTTCATCCAATCGCCTCATGTATAAACTGAATCATACGGTTTTCCCTGCACTTTTTTTCAGCCAATCACTGGCCGTGTTACAATACGATACCCTGACCTAAAGGGAATATTAAATGTTTAGTATTCTAAAATCTAATAATAAATGAAGTTGCATATACAATTACCAATAATGTGGATGCATTTTCACCACTCTTAAGTCATTTAAAACTTTGAAGTTCCCTTTTTTGCAACAAGCGCCGTTATGCCGCATTCCGGATATTCTGAAAATGAATTTTAGCATGTGATTTTCATACTTAACTCATTATTCTGAAGCCAATTTTGTAACAACTTCCATAAAATCACACAGATAGCAAAACTACACTGTTCTCATTACAGAAGTGCTTCAAAATATTAATTTTGTAACAAAAGGATGCAGCAGGGAGCAATTTTATCACCCCACCCATATCAAAATAAGTGATTTTTCACCCAAATTTCAACATTTTATTACCAATAGACTTCCTGAATGAAGATTTAGCTTAGCAAACATACTTAATAACTACTGTATAATGACCTGATTATGGATTACACATTATTTGTACACACATAGCAACATTTTGGGTGTAACTAGGTATTTCAAAACTGCCCTGCTATAGTTTTCTACTCCAAATATTTGCATATATAGTCTTAAATACAAGCCTTAATGTCAATAAAATGCCAAAATTCTTTTTATATTTTTTGTCTCTCTCTCTTACATGGATATAAAGAAATGCAATATATGGAAAAACCAAGTTCCTCTGGATTTAACAGCACAGTAAAAGCCTAATATTTGACTTCTACACCCATTTTTTGGTCATTTTTGCATTCATTTGGAGTCAAATATGACAATTGAAACCTTCTTTCAGGTGTTTTAACATGTAAATCACCTCTTCAGACCAAAATGTACTTGGAATGGACAGTAATGTGTATATTTTTCTCATTTAGGTAGCCAGAAACTAGAATTTATGCACTTATCTAAGTTTCTCAATAAATAAAGGGAGGTAATTCACTGAAGTTGTGCATAATCACACCCTTTTTATACATTTATCTACCAGAATAAGTGCTTTTTCTGTTTATAGACACATCACAGACACTAAAGCTGTGTTATAATTGTGCCTGATATGATTGTGAAAAAGTAGATCAACTTTTACTTATCAATAAAACTTTTCTACAAAATAATTCTACCCTTGGCCATTATGATGCACATTCAATTATGCATTAAACAGACATAAAGTCTAAAAACTATGGCATTATACAATTGTGAGTGTGTAAATATGTATTACCAAATAGAAAACAATAAATTCTTATCACTATTTTGCATTTTAACCACATAATAAGAGGCTATTCAGAAGCAACCTAACTGAATTATGCTACATTTTTCAATGGATTTGAATTTCTAAGTATGTGTTGATATTCATGCCCTGAAACCAAGTAAATTTTAAGACAAAAGCATTAAAATGATATTTATTTGAAGCTTTAATGCTATCTATGCCTGGAAATGAAACAAAAAACATTCTTATATAGGAAACAGACAAAGAAGCAATTTATTTGTGACATTCTATTTAAATATTTGAGCAAAATGGTAAAAATTAGTGCCGAGCGAAGAAATTTCCGCCCCTAAATAAAGTCGAAAAGTTAATCGAAACAGCACCCTAAACTTTTTTAATTATTATATATCAGTTTTGAACCTGACAATATGCATTTGTAATGATATACCTGCAACACCCATCAAAAGTGGCCAATGTGCTTACATCAGGTCCTGTCAAGTTATACATGAAGTCTTCAAACCTGGCATGTGTATAGCCAATGTACAGCATTTCTTTGAAATCTGAAAAATATTTTTAATGACCAAGGTCTACATTATTCATCATCAACATATCACCAATTGATTATCACTCAAATTCACTGTTCAAAGAAAATATAAACCATTATAAACTCTTATGTAACACTAATACTCTTGTTCATATGTAAACAATGCTTGTAGATTGACCCCTTTGACACATTATCTGCTGTAAACACCAACAGTTGCACTGAAATAATGAAATATCATACCTAGACAGGCTGTATACATCCATTCTTCCAAAATATCAGCTTTTCATGGTGTAATCAATGAAGACAAAGTTCTACTGTGAATAATGACAGTTCCAATTTCTCTCTCTTTAGGTCAGACACTCACATTGATATTTCCATAGACTTACATTATAAGAAATGGTCCCTTATCCTACCTTAAAATTCAGTTTTCATGCTAAAGAGGTATTTTTTCTAGCAGAATGAAATGCCTGACACATAAAAATGTTCCTGTTATATAGGGGTAGCCGACCAAATTTTTTGCAAATTGACTTCAAAGAGGATTACCCCCCATTTCATTGAAATTTTCTGCTGATCACAGGACTGACATACACTTTTTATAAATGCAAATATCCAAGTCAAAATTATCACAGAGACTCATGAAATATTTCATTTTCTTCAGAAAACATTGTAGTGTTACTTTTTAAATTAGTTTTTATACTTAAAAACACCCCACTTTCATCCAATCGCCTCATGTATAAACTGAATCATACGGTTTTCCCTGCACTTTTTTTCAGCCAATCGCTGGCCGTGTTACAATACGATACCCTGACCTGTAAGTTTCAGTAGCCTCGTTTGGAGGTGTCACAGATCTTTCGCTGACAGAAGGCAACCTGTACCAGCATGCATTATCAGATATCGTACGAGTTTCTTTGAATACGTTAAATGACGGCAGTGAATTGGAAGCAGGCGACGGTTCATTTTCGACAGACCTTGCGTCACTGCAAACTTCGGGTGAGTCCAAGTTGATGACAAGGCTAGCTGGAGAGGATAGCATTGTATACTCGTACTCGTACAAGTTTTGGTCTTCCATATCTGAAATTATAATTACATTTGATTTATATATTTGGTAAAAACAAAATGTTTTGTCAAATACGCCGGTTTAAACAGAACTTATTTCATTTCAAGTCCGAGTCTGTTAATCTCCATAAATATAGATGAATCTCCATAAATATAGATGAGTCCGGGGAAACACGAAATTCACATTGACCATCACGATCAAATTATTGAATTTGCTTAAATTGTCATAACTTTTATTTATGTACAGATATGATTCACTCTTAGTAAAATGAACATAATTATATAACTAAACCGACATCTTGAAATATTTAGATCATATCATATCAGTAAATATGACCTTGGCATTATCTGGCCATTACAATATGTACTTATACACTACAAAATAATATCCGTTTTGCAAGTAGTTTGCTAACTGATTTGTATATCCAATGTCATCTCAAAGATTATAAGTTTTAGACTATTCATAACTAGCGAAGTTTTTAATGTACGCTAAAATGAAATTTTATACACAAAACGAATTTATGAGCAGGATGATATGATAAGAAATTGAACAATTTAAATGACATTTAAAAAATGAACGAAAATGACTGTTAGCTAAAAATGGATCTCTTAAATAAAAAATAAAGAAATCTGCTTTCGATAAACCTCGTCGAGTATCAATGATTACCGGAGTTGCCGGAAATAGCCGAATATTGAAAAAGCTACACATAACTTTCATGAAAAATAATAGATATGAACTTATATAAGTTATTAACGTATTATGATATATGCTGATCACGAGAGCTTAGCATTACTCGTTTATATTGATACAATATGCAATATCAACATTTTAAATTGGACTCTTTTGGAACTGCATATTATAAATTTTGGGGATATCAAGATAAGTTTAGAGTTGGCCAGCCAACAATGTAGAACCTACCCAGACTGCATGAATGGTGGCAAAAGCTAATCATTTCCGGTTCGGGCAGGGTAAGGGCTAATGCAAGAAAACAAATACTTTTCAATTGAGTTTTCAGTATTCAATTATATAAACTCGTAGAAATATACCAAGGTTTTAACAAATTCTTTCAATTTTTGCGTAAGAAAGTGTCGCTATGAATTAAAACAATGTTATTTCCGGGATGCGACCATGTTCCAACAAAAAGTACAGTACATGTACTTTGATTTGGTCTTTCATGGAAGTTATGTAAAAACATGAATAATTATGTGGATATTATTTAGTATCAGACATAACAAAAAAACATGAAATATTTATAAATGGATGTTGTTGGCAAGTGTTAGATACATGATCCATAAATACATGTTGCCAGTATTTATACAACAGATATTAAAGTGTTCTAAAACAAATTATGATATCTCATATAGATGTTCATAGTAAATTACTTGATATTTATCTTTTTTAAAACAATATTTTATAAAACATTTTTGTCAGTAAATTTCAAATGATACGTTTCTATTGTTTTAACAGTATTTTTAAAAAATGTGCCCAATGTTGACCAATCCACTTTAATCTTCTCCGAACGTCTTATTAAACCTGTTACTGGCTAAACTTGTTCTTGCAGATCTTCAACTGGAAACAGGTTTTCTTAAACTCTATTTTCTTTAATCGAGTTTTACATTTCAATTGTATATTCATGTGTCTTGTCTCAGGCTATAAGTGTGCAAACTTGCTTATGTATTATGTATTATATGCAACTGAAGATACGAACATGTAAATTTGTTTTTGCCTTTTCATGTGAGGTCAGTTGTTTAGATCTAAATGTAAAGTTTGTTATTTAAAAGCGAGAACTTTCGATTAAGAGGCATATTATTTGCAATACACTGATACAGTCAAAATGCTAGGCATACACGTTTGCATTTTCAAAAGATCTTTAAAACAAATACTTAACATGTCTGAAATTTTGGCAACGAACGCCCTCAATATTATTGAACCGCTTAAATACTAGTTGTAACTGCGAAGAACAGTTTACAAAACGCTCATTATACACGTTCAGTTATTGTGTAAGCAACATGATTTCCTGTAGGATCATTCCGTATGGAATTCGAAATCGACTAAAAATAACCATTCAACAAGGCAATCGTTTGATTACACTCCGCTATTCGGCTTGTAACAGCTTTCTTGCACACTAACTTTAAGAGGTTTAGTAGGTCTCAAAAGATACTATTAACATTAAAGATGGTAGCATTCAAAATATCATAAAATATTAAACAAACTAGAAATGTTTCCATAGGAAACGGGTGCCCCCTCCGCGCCACTGTTCTGTCAATCTTATGACTCTAGGTCAAATATTTTTTGAAAACTAAAAATCTTTTACTAAGTAAAGGGCAAGAACTTTACAAATACTGAATAAATCTACAAGCAAACTCTTAGGTGCATAAGTACACATGCTGACCAACATTCTTGTAAACTTTCAGGCCTACAAGTGAAATACTTTTTGAGCTATGCATGAACAAGTTGAAAATTGCAAATTTATACTACTGTAAGTCAAGGGCAATAACTCTAACAAAACTGAAAAAAATCCACATATAAAGTCCCAGGTGCAAAGCTTCACAGTGATGTTAATCATTATTCCTGTAATTTAGTGATGTTGATCATTATTCCTGTAAAGTTGGTTGATTCTAACTCAAGCACAAAAGGAACAAATAACAACATTATAACATTACTAAGTCAAGGGAAATAACTCTACAAATACTGGCGAAACCCCAGGTGCACAACTACATATGCTCAGCAACCTTCCCGTGAGGTTTAATGACTCTATGTCAAATCCTTTGAGTAAAATGCGACACAAGTTGAAAATTGCAAAAAAATCTAAGTCAAGGGCAAGAACTCTAAAAATACTAAATAAATCCAGACGAAAATACCCAGGTGCACAACTACACATGCTGATCAACATTCCTGTAAAGTTTCATGACTCTAGGTCAAATACTTTGAGTTTCATGCGACACAAGTTGAAAATTGCAAACTTTTACAAAGTCAAGGGCAATAACTCTACAAAATACTGAATAAATCCAAACGAAAATACCCAGGTGCACAACTGCACATGCTGATCACATTACTGTTAAGTTTCATGACTAGGTCAAATACTTTTTGAGTTACGTGCGACACAAAAGAGAACGGACGGATGGACAAGGGTAAATCTAATAAAATAAAATGAATAAATGATCAATATATTTGATATTTGCAAGAAGCATACACCCTGAAAAATGTTACAAATTCAGTTACTTATAGTATTACTGTACAAGGTAACTGCTAATCCCATAGTAGGCATCTATTATAGTCTCAAATATTATTTAAGTCGTTTAAGGCATAAGATAATTTATTGACAACTGCATTTATAAGCTTATACGGGCCGAATTTGTACAAAAGTGCTTCAGAACGCACTGCAACAACTTCCCAAACGCACACCTGAAGCACCTTGCGCACACCTGTATCCCTGGACAGAAATAGCAAATAAATGATGTTCTATTTATACTTCGGCGCTGATACAGCCGATACAAGAATAATATGGATCAAAAATAAAGGTAAAATTACTTTCTACTTGAAAATATTTAATAAAAATGATTTATATCATCAGGAAAGGGAACTACAAATGTACCTACATTAAAATTAAAGATAAGACGCACAACAGTAGCACCGAAAAATCGCTCGCCTGGTTTGAAGCGCGTATGCATTGTGTACACCGGTCTTACTGACATATATATTTGTACATATACATGTACATGTACATATACATATACATGTACATATATACTGACATCGATATTTGAGGCCGGTGCGTATACAATGGCGCGTATGGTCACGCCTGGTAAAAGAGAGAGCTACCTCTTTCGGAGGTATACGGTAAATCGCTCTATCGCTACATCCGTGATAGTGTTACATTGTGCCATAATTTAATTACATTAAAAATTCTGCAAGAGCAGCAATATACCACTGGAATAGGAAATTATTTCTCTGGAACATATATAATGTTTATCCAAATAAATCAAACATTAACAGATATATAGAAAAATAGCATATACCTTTAAAATTATTGGTGGTACATAATTGGCATCATACAGCAGGTGCTCGATAACGCATCTAAAATACTACTATGACGTCAGTGGTGACGCTTATAAAATTGTTTCAATTCAGGTTTAAGTCAGATTTAGTGACGTATATGAAAATCTCTGCATCTTTAATATATTTCATGTAGAAAACGCTAGAATCGTGGCCACTTCGGACCACGTACATGTCGAACCAGATTTTGGGACGGTAACTTCGTATACATTTTTGTATTTTCTTAAAATTTCATTTTTGAGGTTTGATTTGTAGACGAAAGTTTACAAAATTATTAAATTGACACGAATACACAACGTGCAGTCGAAAAACAAAAAGTTTAAAACGACGACAGTTCTTAGTCTACATGCAAAGTTAAGGTGGAGACTATGTAAATAAAATGAGTATTACTTTGTCCGGTTTATTTTATTTTTATTTTCCATATTATTTCACAATATTTGGGTAAAATCGGGTTCTACGTCTAAAGGACTTGCCAATCGTTTGTCCTATAAAAGAGGCTTTGCAAGAATTGAGGTTATAAATGACCACACTTTCAATACAATGAAACAAACAAAACCTTTCTTAGTCTTATATTTCTTAGTCTTTATCCTTCATTAGAAGGGACTCAGGTTTTTCGGGACTTGTGTACCACTTCATGTAGGTCTGGGCTAATAACTTGATTTCAAAATTTCATTCCCGTACTCGGTTT